TCCGTCTACTTCGGACTGATCCAGGTATACCGAAACGGGTTGTTGGAAGATGTCTGAACATGGAATTAGAGTCAAGTCTTTAGCTAGCTATCATCAGGGAGGGGACGAACCGAATCTGTTGAGCTTATCCGCACGTGCCGAAACTTCCCGCAAAACCTCGGAGAGCGTATAGGGTCTGTCTTGGTTACTGCTTAGGAGGGGGTTGAAGATTCGCTCCAGAAAGGCTCGGCGGGTGTTGCGAGCGCCGTGAACCTCTACCGAAGAGATAGTGCATGGCAACGTCGAGTTCTGGTCGAGCTGATGTTATATAAGCTCATAGGTCAGCTATCATGACGCACGATGTATAGTAATGATCATGTCCATGGCCCACAGCCAATTATGAGGGGAGCCAGCTTACCAATTCACCAAGACGAGTCTGCGCCTTTTGATAAATAGCACGAACGCGCTCATCGACTGCCTGTTGCTGCTCATTCAGCACTTTCGGATCGGCACGCTGTTGCAGGCGCGCGAAGATCTAGAAGAGGGAGAACGCCGTTTGTGGTCAGCACAGAGTGCCCGGGGGAATTCCTCAGGGTTAAACAAGAGGGGACGCATCACGAACATCTTCGTCATCAGCAGAAAGTGGAGAGGACATTGCTGCGGCGGCAATGGCCAGATGAGACCTGCTTTTGCCTTTCCTGCTTTCCCTTCCGCAGCGGCGAAGATGAAGCCATCCGCCCTCGCACGTGACCGTCCCCCGAGGTGCCTCCGGGGAGTTCCTTACAAGCCAGGCCGCAACGCAACTAAAACCAACTATAGACCCAGATCTTCCACTTCTCCCCTCCCTCCCATTCCGCCATCGCCTTGGTGTCAGATAGCATTCGCCTTGCGATCTGCCCCTGTCCACCCCTTTCAATTTCGGGCCAGCTCCCAACAGATCAGTCTTCGTTACTAATTCTACCCTTATCGCCCCTGACCTTCGCTACTTTCGTTCTTTTGACCTCCCGTACTTAGCCCCCCTCTCCGATTTACTGCAAACAGGCCAGAACAAACTACTAAAAGATGGCGACAAAAGCGGCTTTCAAGCGCGTGCGTTGCGCCCTTTCAAAATGCGGTCATTTTATTGCATTGTATAACTAACAGATGAGCAGCTTACTCGCGAGTATCAGAACATTCAGAAGAATCCCCCGCCTTACATTGTGGCACATCCTTCAGAGTCCAACATACTCGAGTACGTCATTTACAACAGACTATCACCACCTGCGTCGCTTGTTTGCGACTAAAGTTGACCTTTCATTCAGATGGCACTACATCCTTACGGGACCTCCGGGCACGCCGTATGAAAATGGCCAGTATTGGGGTACCCTAATGTTCCCTCCCGAGTACCCGTTTGCTCCTCCGGCTATTCGCATGCACACTCCTAGCGGTCGTTTTCAACCATCAACTCGGCTATGCCTCAGCATCAGCGACTTTCATCCGAAGTCATTCAATCCCGCATGGGAGGTTTCTACCATCCTCATTGGCTTGCTTTCATTCATGACGAGCGAGGAGATGACCACCGGAAGCGTGAGTGCATCGGAGGCAGAGCGACGAGTGCTGGCGGCACGGTCTAGGTGGTGGAATTCCACTGGTGGCGGTTCCCATGTCAGTGCCACCCCAGGAGTGACCCCTACTGCCAAGGGTATCAACAATGTGAAAGCTGGAGACGGCGGTCTGAAGTTTCGCTCGGAGTGGCCAGAGCTAGACCAAGAGAATTGGAGGTGGATGAAGGATAGTCGCATCGACACCAACACTGGCCAGCTCATGCCTGATCCCAGTGCGACCAGATGCTCTCCAGAGACAAGTGCGCTTCGCCGACGACCGAACGGTAGCGCCCCGGGACTCGGTGCGGTGATGGAAGGCGGCCATGTCGCCCGAGAAGCAGGCCAAAGCTGGGTCCGCCGCAACAAGATCTGGCTTGGGTTTGCAATCCTATTCGGATATGCACTTCTGACCAGGCTAGTGAAAGATGTTCAAGGCTAATGGCTGACAAGGTCGAGCTGGCTCGGCTTTCCGCTCCTTTTGTATATTTCAGATTGCCCAATTAAGCGTTTGATCGGACCTGCAGACACCCCCGAACGATTTCCCTTTCTTGTTCTGTCTTTTTTTTTTTTTTTTTTTTTTCTCTTTTTTTTTTTTTTTTTTTTTTTTTTTTTTTTTTTTTTTTTTTTTTTTTTTTTTTTTTTTCCCCTATTTTCTTTCCTCCAATCAGTGCTATTTCTCATCGACCTATTTTTTTTAAAGACCCCAGTTTCATTTTCCTTGTGGCAGTACCGGGAGAGTTTGTGCAGATATTTATGGGCTTATTTGATTTTTCAGCTACTGGGGGGCGTCGGGGATTTTCATGTGGCGTTTGAGACATTCATCAGATCATCATCACTTTTCCTTACCTTTTTGTTGTTGCTCTTTCCCCTTGTCTGTTCTTTCCCGGCCTTTTGTGTCTTGGGACATGCGGCTGTTCTTATCTAATAGGCCGCCCGAGCATGATGGTAACAATGGTTTGGATCCGGATGGTGCGAATACTTGTACATAGGCAAGTCTGCTTGATTTTTAGAAAGAATCACTCTGCCAGGCGTGATGGTCTCCAAAGTACCAACTGAAGTACTCCGTACTACTTTCTGCTCTAACTGCTGCTAGTGCCTCAGGCCTGCAGAGGGATGTCAATCAGCTCACGCCTGATTGGCTACGGACGTTGGCGGAGATAGTCGGGAATCACGTGGGCGGCGCGCGGCAATTTTCCGGCTTGCAAATAAAATCATTTCGTATCGCCGAAATTACTTACTGTCGATACCGTCGCTATACATCATCACTTTCGCCCTCGCCGTTTGCTGGAGATTCTCTGACGGCCTCCACATTCTCTCTAGCATATTCCGTCCGACGGTCTTTCGTCAACTTGCTCGTCCTCTTGTCTAATATTCCTTTGTATTCCATCGCGCATCAATAATGGGTTGGTTCTGGGCAGACTCTCAAGCAAAGCCCGCGCCCGCGGCTCCGCACCCCGTGCCATCTTCAGACGCCTCTCCTCCCGTGAGTAAAGATGCTACTTAGACGCAATTTCGAGCGAGGAATCTGACGGATGCTTATAGCCAGGATGTCCCATGCACGCATCTAACACCACGCCGGCAATGCCAGCCCCATCACCCACCTCCGAGCCTCCCAGTGCCTGTCCGGTCCGGTCTACAGATTCCCCGTTCTATGTGCCTCCGAAGTCCAAGTCTCCGGAGTCGCAGCCTCCCTCCAACCCTACTACCAGCTCTGACTCGCGATCTACTCTTTCAAAGCTAAACCCTCTCAACTACATGTTCGCCTCGATCTCCCAGGAAAGGGCGCCCAACCAGACCGTGGATCTTCCCGTGGAGCGAGAAGTTTCGTCTATCCCGAGATCCGATATGAATGAGAACTGGGAATATCCTTCCCCTCAGCAGATGTACAACGCCATGCTGCGCAAGGGTTATACCGATACCCCGCAGGATGCCGTTGAGGCCATGGTTGCTGTTCACAACTTCTTGAATGAGGGCGCTTGGGAGGAGATTGTTCGGTGGGAGCGTATATTTTCCAAGGGTCTGGCAGATGGCTGGGAAAAGTGCCGTCGCGGAGAGGAGAACATCATGATGGACGAGTTTAAAGAGCAGATGTCCAGCGCTCCCAAGCAGGATGTTCCTCCGCCGCGACTCATCCGGTTCCAGGGTCGCCCGCAAGAGCTTACGCCCAAGGCACGGATCCTTCAGGCATTGGGCTGGGTGTATCCTGCCAAGTTCGAGTCAGTACTCCCATTAGCTCCTGTTTCTTCTCTTCCGTTCGGAAATTTTCAACTAACATTCGCCTGTTACTGTAGGTCAAACCCACCCTTCGATCGCCACGATTGGTTCGTAATGCGGCAGACGCCTTCCGGCCCTAAGGAAGTCCGTTATGTTATTGACTACTATTCTGGTCCCCCCGAACCCACCGGAGAGCCTGTTTTCTACTTGGATATCCGACCGGCCCTGGACACCCCAACTGCCGCCGTTGAGCGACTAATGAGATGGGGAGGAGATGTCTGGTGGCGTGCCAGTGGCGCCTCTGTTCGGGAAAATTAAGTGACTGACTGATTGATCTATCAATCGGTTGATTGTCCTTAGCACCGCATGCCCGCGATCTTGGTCGACAGCCGTTCAGCAGGATACTCTTGACACTCTGGGAAGGCGCAGGCGTCTGGTTTCGGTTCTTCGTTCATTATGTGGAACCGCCCTGCTATAGTATTCATGTTCTTGTTCGTTCGGATCTCCTGGATTGCGCGCCCCTTTCTCTTCATTTCGGCTATGTCTTTATTATAACGTCATGTGGATGCTGGAGTATCAAGGAAGTTCGTCATCGTATTGGACGACTGGGGTTATTTCTTTCTATCGGTTGCATGCTTTGTCTGGGCTTAAACGCCCCCCCTCTCTGCCCCACTCTCTTCCCTTTTTGTGGAATCTATCTTGATATCAATTATCTTGATCTGTAATATATATGAAACTACGCTGCCATCAAATCGTGGGCGGTGATATGAAAGGTACAATTCGTGTTTGTAATCTATCGTAATGCTGTGCATAAATGACTGGGTACTATATGAAATCAATATACTGTACAGAATGTCTTTGCCTTGCAGTTATTTCAGCTCAAACCGTCATTTGCGTTCGTTATTCCGGACTCATCCCTCGAAATACGGCTGACAAAGAAGGTCTGTGCTGACCGTGCCAATTGTGGGGAGTAGTGGAAAGCTCGACCACCCGTGCTGTTGTCGGCATCTGTCGCTCAGTGCCTGACGGCGAGATACGTATCAACGTCGGGTTGGAAGCCATGGCGGATCTCTGTGCGTATAGAACGGAGGGTATACATCGCACCCCGATTTCTGTTACGTCTCGCAACAATCACTGGGCTGAATACGTGCTCTGGCCCTGGACCGCTTGGAGAAGTATGCGAGTGCTGGCTATGTTGTTCAATCCTTGCCCTTGCATCTTAAATCATATGTTAGGCGATAAGAGATCGTATTTGACACATTGCTCGACGGTTTCAAAGCTGCTTTGGAGCAATCCGCGCGCCTCGAGCCCTACCCAGACGCGAAGCATGGACATGTCGCCGGACCGGACGGATTTGAAAGCGGTAGTGTTGGATCCCAGTTTTCGTAGAATGGGGAGGGAGCTAGATAGCAAAACGAGTCAGTCAGTGGGCCGTGTGAAATAACAGGGCGAGAGGATCTACGTACCTCTTGAAAAGATCGAGATTGGGATCTAGATTACGTCCAATGCCCTCAAGGAGAAGACACGAGATAACGACGTTGACGAAATCTCCCTCGAGTCGAACGTGATGTTTACGGACCATGGATAGGACATCACTCAGTACATCTCCAATTTTGACGCTACCGAGGGCAAACGTGCGAGACTTGATATTTAGCACCAGATGTTCCATGCCCAGGGCGAAGTAATATGGGTCGATCACTGCATCCGGTTGACGACATCGTTCGACCATGAGTTCACCGGCTCGATACCCATCGAACTCGGCAATGGCGCGAAACAGGTCAATGAAATTGCGCCGGTTGAGGTCGTTTAGTTGAGTCACTAGTCCAGTGTCGATGAATATGAGCTGGGGCCGATAGCCCTCAGCGTTCAGATCATCGAGCGCTTTCACCCAGTCGCGCCGATTATCGATGTGTGGGCGCAACCGTGCAAGCACAGATTCTGTAACATCAACCTCTTCCGCAGATGGTGCCTCCGATGCGCGAGACTTATTTCCTAGTGACAAATCCAATTCACTTGGCCGGTAGAATCGAACCATGATATTCCCGGGGTGCAGATCCGCATGGACGAAGTTGTCGATCAACAGCATATGGAGGAAGGCATCTAAGCCTTCGTTCGCGATCTCTTCCTGATAGACGCCTCCTCCTACCTCGAGGAAGGTCGACAGTGGAATACCCTGTGCAAACTCCTCCACGAGCACCTCGCGAGTAGAGTAGTCCAGATACGGATATGGGAACCAGGCTGTAGTGCGTGACCTGAACTTCTCACGGAACATGACGAGGTTCGTGGCTTCAATTCGTAAATCCAATTGTAATTTCATCATTTCACCAAACTGATGAACTTCATCCGGCAAAGATAGCCAATTCATGGTAGGTATGGCATTAATTAAGGATGCGAAGAACGACATGATCTTCAGATCTCTGTGAATCACGCGTTCTACCCTCGGATGAAGCACCTTGACAGCTACATAAGACGATGGTACGCGTTGAGGAGAGCTTTTGACTAACGCTCCAACGTTCTTTCGGACCTTGTCTCGTAGACCATGTGGATGAAGGTCGATGTCGTCATCGGTCCCCGCAAGATTGGGCTTCAGCTTCGCCTTGTATACCTGCGCGATAGCGCCCACGCCCAATGGTTCTTCTTGGAATTCCTCGAAAATGTCTTCGAATGGCAGCCAATTGAATGCCTTCCTTATCGTTCTCTTCGTTTGATGCAAGGAGTGTGCAGGTGCATTTGAATGCAGTGATGACATGATGTCGCAAAGTTCCGGTGGGAAGATGTCTGTACGTGAGGCCGCCCATTGTCCAAGCTAGATGAAGACCGCGAATGAGTAGAGTACGGATTGAAAGAGTTCGACGACCAAATATTTACCTTGATAAAAGCTGGGCCTGCGCGTTCCATAGATCGGACCAGAAACCTATACCACCATAGAGTCCCCGTGCGTATACCCTCACGATCCTTCAACTGCTTACCAAAGCATATCGTCGGAGCCGTAAGAATGACAGGCAGGAAGATTATTACCAGATGGACAAAGCGGAAGCCCGTCGCAATCGGGTCATATATGTAACAGTATGTAAAGACGTAGAGCGATTGCCAGAGTCGCTTCAAGCCTCGCGCATCGTCATCGACGGTCTTTCGTACCTCCTGGCGCGAGACTTCCAGCATCTGCATCTCGCCAGTCTTTCCATTGTCGTCATCTCCATCCTCGGCCAGCTGGAGGAATGCTCCTGGTGTCATCGCAGCAATGAGAACAGTTCTGATCGAGGGGCCCCCCCTCGGGGGTCTTCGCAAAGGCTGCTGCGTCCATAATGGCCTGCGCGCGAAAGGCAATCGAGGCTGCGGAAGAAGGCGGGACAGTAGCAGTGGATTTCTACCACGGCTTAAACAGAAACGGCTCGCGAGGACGGCCGTCCTCATGTTCTCGTAAAGACACCGGCTAGAGAGCAGGTGGATCAGTCATCGAAAGCAGAATAGCTGGCCTGAGCGGTCATAATAAAGGCGGGAGAGGGAGCGAGAGGAGATGCGCTTTCTTTGCTTGCTTCTGGTTGTTTGTTGGAGATTCGGGATGGACAGGAAGCCCAGCCGGCGGGCCAAGCACGTGGGCCGACGTCATCGAGTAGTACCTCTCTCCTACTGCTACTCGTTATGGTTAGTTACGAATTTCTACGCATTCATGCAGGCGCCCGTTCTGCAACCATCATATATTCTATGGAGACTTTTACTCTACTGTTTTGATCCATTTAATCAGGATAGCTCGTCCAGAGCTTACAAAACCTCCACTGCCAACACCGGCCGACAGGCACTGTCTAAAAAGAACTCTTTTCAGACCACGGGTGACATGACAATATGGTATACGATGCTTGTGAGGGACTGATGAAAGACATGATGCTTTCTTAACCGTTCAATGTCGACTTAGAGTCTTGCAGATGCCTTGAAACATGACTATGCATCAACTGCTGCATGGTAGATTTATCGGTTTCGGCAAGCGTGTCGGGCTGGTAGGGAGGCGTCAATATCAATCATAGTTGGGATCTCAAATCTCGAGAATAGACTTACATCGCTCTTCAACAACTCCTGCACCAGGACAGAAATATTGTCACGATCTTTCTTTGCCTGCATTTGTTCGGTCTCCTCCGTAGATTCGGAGGTATCTGCACTCAACGTCTCCTCAAGTAGTGGAAGAATTTGCATCTTTTGCAGGGATCTTGAAACTGCCATGGCGCCCGCTTTAGTGGACGCCATAAGGGCCATGGCAAACCAGCCTTCACTCCGGACGACGGGCCATTGTGATTGGGCAATCATAGCCCCAACCGGCAGCGCGATGTCCTCATGTAAGTCAAAGAATCTGGACAGCAGGGCAGCAGCAGTGGGATCCCCTTCCCGAGATTTTGGCACCAAAGTACGGCATATGGAGGCCACGGTGCGTCCAATCTCTGTTTTGATGGGAGTAGAGTCTGTTTTCTGGAAGAGAGCAAGTAGCAAAGACAAATACGTCCGTTCGTCGTTAGAATCAGTGCCGTCCCTGGCAAGTCCCTCTAGGAGACGAGAAATATTATCGATCGCTGCCACAGTCACCTGCCTTGCGATGCTTGTGGCGGCAAACTGAACCTGAGGGACAGACTCATATTGCCATAGACGTGAAACCGCTGGGAGTATGCCAGCCTCTCCAAGTACCAGCCTGTTATTCCCAGCGATCGCAAGGTTCTTCAGGAATCCGAGTGCAGAGTGTAAGACCGCGCCTCTAACATCACTCTTAAGGACAGATATCAATTCTTCATGTATTCTCAGATCTTGAACCATCCTTTCGCACGTCGCGTCTGAGCGAGCCAAGTTGCCCAGGATAACGCAGGAGCATATCTGCAGTTGGTCCTCCGTCGATGTTAGCCACGTCTTGAGAGACTGAGCCAGAGGGGAGTCTAGCGGATAGTACTGCGCGAATGAGGTCGATCCGGAGATCTCCGCAAGGATTTGGTTGATCTTCAACCGTGACTGTGCTAATGCCTGGGTATCCTCGCCAGAGGACTCAGTATTGAAGGTCAGTGACCGGCTGAGCACCGCCAAAATGTTGGGCACTATGTAATTAGATATGCAAATTTCTTGGAAGCGCGTATTGTTTAGATATGTCGCCAGGCCACTGACAAGACCGGAGAAACGCGCTGGGGTGGAAGCCACATCTTCGTCAAGAGCAAGTTCTACAAGAAGCGAGATGGTCCCATTGGGAGATGAGGAAATTCCTTGTTCTGAGCGTTCCCACAGTTAGCATTGAATTGCAAAAGGGGAGGTGAAGTCATGCCTTGTTCTCCGACCAACTCGACAAGCTCAAAGACATAATCAAGCAGAGCATCGTTGTCTTTAAATGCACCGTTTTTCACTAGTTTCAAGAGGATATAGACTATCTTATCAGCAGCTAACTGTGTCTGAGCAGGCCCTGTGGATCGTCAGTATCGTAGCCAGCTTTAAGGATCCGAGCAGGAGCACCAATTACCGAAGTCGATGCAAATGTTATACAGGACAGGGATCACCACTTGAATCAGTTCGGGATTGCTTGAGTGCTGTAGAATGGCAGCCGTGTAATTGTGTTCCACTACAATCTCTCGATTGTCATCTGAAGGCGATCAGAAATGAGCTGTCTTCGACTTCCCTAGGGGACAAAGGCACTCACTAGTGTCAGCACAGGAGTTGCCGACGAGCCGTAACGCATGGAGGATGACTCTGTTATCAATGGTCTCCTTCGACGCTATAAGCTGAAGGAAAAAGTTGAAGACTCCAATCTTGCCGTAGGAGACCCGCCATAATGCTACCACGTATATTAGCTAGGTGACAAGACAGAACGCGCCTGGTTGGCGGTGATGATGGTACCACCGAGCTGGTTGATGACTTACGGGCTCTGCTGCCATTCGCCATAGCCTCTGCCGCTGGCACTAGGTAGGGCGATCTGCACTTCCACAACTTCTGGAGAATATCTGGAGTATCTTTCAGAGCGTCCAAAATGTTTGCATTTTCTGCAGCTTTCAGGGATTTCTGCAGTGACTCGAACAAGTTCTTTTGTTCTTCAGATGGCAACGGCTCAATTGCCGCAAGTGTGGACGCCGGTGGCAGTGAAGCCAATTCGGAAAGGACTTGACTGAGAGAGGGGCATTGTACTCTATGAGCACTCCCAGCTGTTCCTGGGGTCAGCTCGGATTGCTGGTCGCTGCCCTGCATGCTCCCTGGGACATCAGTCCTGTCACTAGGGGGTTCCATTTCTCGAAGCCCGCTTTTCGCCGGTAGAGTAAGTCCAGCTAGGTGGATATTGTGAGACAATAAACAAGCACTGTGCTTTAAGATTCAAGGCTATGTTAGAGTTATGAACTGCTCGATCATGAGGTTGTAAATGGTTGCCAGGATGAAATCTATAGAGTATCGAGCGACAATGGTGTTCTTCACCTGATCGGAGTTAGCGCGAGAAACTATTGCACCCGAAGAATCCAAGGTGCAGGCAGAGCAAATAAAATGCAGGTGGTGTATCTCAAAGGTAGTAGTAGTAGTACTAGTACTGACTCTCTGCTACTTGCGGGGAGAGACGAACAAGCGAACTAAGTAATTCCTGGATGCTTTTACCTGTTTCTTTATTCAACTTGCCAGACCTAACATTGCAATCATGGTAATCCGTACTTTACATTCTATACTACACAGCACACAACACTCGCAACATATCAACTACCGCAGGACAAACGCAGGTCTCTAGTTTCCAGAACTTTGCCCCCTAACGTCATGAGAGGGGAAATAAATCTACCCCTCCTTGACCCTTACTTACCTTGTCAGGTACCCTGTAGTCTAACTAACTAGTAGTAACTAGTAACCCAGTTAATAAGAATTGATTAATCAATTCTGTCCATAACGAGGAGTAACAGAAACTAAACCAGGATTGGGATGGCGTACGGCGACCCGATTAGCCCCAAGCCGCAAGTCCAGACCCGCCCCGATATGGCAACTTGGCCAGGCGCTCCGTACAGACAGACAGCAGCTCAACTTCCCGCAGTCCCTCATTCTAAACCCGGGCAACCTTGTAACATCACATTGTCCTTTTCTACTTTTACCCTCTTTTACTTTATTCTACCAGACCTTCCCTGCAACTTTACGCCAACATCACCATGACTCGTGCCCAGCAGACTCTCTCCGTTCTCCTACTTGTCTCCTCGGTATGCTACTAGCTCCGTCTAACACGCTGTACAATTGTCGCAAACAATATCACTAACCAGCTTAACTTCCAAAACTCCAGCTCTACTTAGTCCTCTACCTTGGCCTCGTCCCTCTCAACGAAACAGTCCAGACTGAAGTCATCCCTGTTGTACGTTCCTCATCGCCCACCTCCGCGACAACAATCCCCCTCCTCCCATCTACAATATCTCCGATTCACAATTCCACACTTTCAGCTTGCTAATCATCGCGCCTTGTCACTCACAGCTCCCATTCTACGCACTAATATGTTTTGGCTGTTATCTTCTCGGCCGGCTGGGTCTGGCCATCCTGACATTCAATGACGTGCCCGAGGCGCATGACGAGCTACAGAAGGAGATCGAACAGGCCAAGGCCGAACTGCGCAGAGCGAATGTCGACGTCGATTAAATAACAGCGAACCCCCTTCACTTCCCAATACCATATCAGTTTTTTCTTGTTGATTCGGCTGGTTTGTGCAATATGGTGGTCTGGTTTTCCTGGATGGGGGCGGGTTATTACTACTAGCTCCTTGCAATGTTAGGTTTTCCTGGGGCAAAAAGGGCCCTTGGAGCCTTGTTTATTTTCTGATCTGTATGTGGAAGTGTGTTTTACCCCATTGAACTACTGAAGTAAACTGTTATCTTAGTCTGAGTAATTGGGTTTCCAGCGGTCGAGTTCGGTTTGGTATGTTTGTATGTCTATGCATGGCACGTGTATTATTATGGAATTACTGTTGTTGCAGCTGTGGGTGTTGGTTTGTCGTGGTAGGAATTCTCCCCCAGGGCTGGGAATTCTCTGAGTTATGACATATTACCATCTAGGTACTATGTTGAGCTCCAGGAAAGAAACGGGTTGTTTCGAATTCTGCGTAAGCGAACCTGAATTGCAACTATCCTTAATTGCAATACCGGTCTCTGTCAAAGATATGCAGGCGCTGTTCCATGAGCATCATATAGGCTAATATCTTCATCATTCATGGTACCAAAACTGCTTTTGTTCTATCAAATAAACCCATCAAAACACCTTTCCGTAGCAAACCCGAAACATGCAAAACTCTTCTTCAAATGTCTAAGGGGGGGACGCAACATATATGCAACCAAAGAGAGCCGGTATCTATGCGTGGGCGGCATAACCAGGATGAAGAGACGAGGTAAAAATGTGGCTAAGCGAGAGCAAAATCGCGCTGAGTAGAAGAAGCTCAGACGAGAGGGTTCTCCTCAGCTAGTCTGTCGTGCTCGTCAATGTCCCTGTGAAATGTATATGTTAGCATGGGACTTCAAAGCCTGGTACTGTATCGGATGACGTACTTAGCTTCCCAAGGATAGCAGATCCAAACATCAGCGGTGGTCACGGATGCGTGGTAACGGCCAGAGGTCATCATATCCTCCGGCAAGACACCCTTCTTCGGCTTGTCCTTATTCTGAAGAGATTGTTAGTCATATGGAGACGATAGGTTCGGCGAAATTGATATAATCGGAATGATAAACGTACGTGAACAACGTAGACGAAGAAGTTTGTCTTCTCGCCTTCACGGCCGAGCTGCTTCTGCGCAATCTCGACATCCTTCTGGAGCTCGCGGACGGCATATTCGAGGGTCGTACGGGTATCGTCAACTTCGTCAACAATGAGAATGTTCTTGCCAATGAGGTTGGCCATTTCCAGAGAGCTAAGGTCCAGCCATTGTGTGCGGGTAACCTTGGTTCCGGGGACTTCTTCGGCGTCACCGCGACCCAGGTCCTCGTAAAGCGACAGACCGATGGCCTGAATGGGAATGTTAGGCTCGCCGGGGCGCTTCAGGAAAGAGCTGTGTGAAGGATATGCGTCAGAAACGGGTTCCTAAATCAAGTTGTGGTTTTAATATGACGAACCGGAGAATGCGAGCAGGGATGTAGCCACCACCGCCGATAGCAATCATAAGATTGGGCTGGAAGGTGTCCAGGATCTTGTCAGCGGAGGCCTGGCATAGTTTGTGAACCTGCCAAGTACATTCGGATGTTAGCGGATTGTTTTTCAAGTGAACGGACGAGTGTGCGACGGCCAAGCTAGGCTGCGACGTGGGCATGTGGCCAAATGAACCAGAGAAGTATGTGCATGCAAGGCCGTTAATGGCAGACAAGCCCTCACACAAGCACGAAACCCAACGATCATCTACATGTGGCTGCAAGGGAATGAAAGGGAAATGTAGAGATTTCAAAGGCAACTGCATACCTGGTTGTACGTGACATAAACCTTCTGCGGCATTTTGACGGCGGGTGCGAGGGGTTCGCAGGAATTGACCGATTGAGGATATATGATAAGTAGTAGAGTTGGAGATCAAGAGGCTTGACCCGAGGTGAGGGGGGTGTACAAGTGAGATGGATAGGTGAAGATACTAATGAGTACGGAGATGGCAAGATCACATATGAGGGGTAGATTGGATCCCAGAAATTTTTTTTTTCTTTTCGGTTTTTTTTACCCCTCGTTTTTTTTACTCAAATTTTTAAAATTAGGATTAAAGGAACACCTGCGTCACAAGCTGGATAACTGGATAAGGTTCCCTGCCGAGTACTTTTTGCCCGCCGGCGCTGCCACACGACAGAGACAGATCGAATCATGGGCCCATGGGGGACTTTACCATATTCAGGTTGCGGGGACTGTATCGTGGCCAATCAGGGTGTATCTTTATGCGCTAGTATGGTTTTCGATTCCAGTTTGGGTATGGTCTGTTCCAGCCATCAGTAATGGAAATCAGTTGGAGAGGCGGAGGACGGAGGTCTCCGTCTCTAGGCGGTATCCAAAACAGGATGTTCCTGATAGATAGTATGACCTAGATAAGTATGTTGCGTTTTGTGCGGCTAGAGATTCTTGCATCCTGCTGTACGAAGCTTCTTACTAGTTACGTAGATCCTATGCTTATTACAGGAAATCCATACTGCAATTTCAACATATTCACCCCACTTAGGCTAGTTTATAACCTTAGGAGTAGTGTTATTTTTTCCTATTTGGTTCTATGGCGGGGTATTTGGACCCTTACACTAGGAGTCTCCATTCTTACGAGAAACGCCCCTCAGATACTGAATACTCAAGAAACTGCTAGTCATTCCAGCTCTCATATATAAGTGATTTGTTCTACCAAAAAGAATTTTAGTCGTCTTTTGGTAACCGACTATATGCATCTTAGGGTATATATGCTGCGCTAAATGACCCAAACAAAGGAACCCCCGAAAAGTTCGTCCCCATCCTAACAACCATTCGCCTGCAAGAGTGAAGCGTTGACACTCCGTCATACAGGTGTAATTTCACCTGGTGACTCAGGCTTGATTCGGTTGACCTCAAAGCCTCCTTCGTCTTTATCTTCGCCCTTCTGAGGCCAAAGTATTTGGCGATGCACGATGGCACGCACCATCATATAGAAGACGAAGATATACATCAAGATAAGCGGAAATACCATAGCGCAGCCGATGATGGATATTGCCTTGCACGAGAAAGCCTTTCCAATTGCAAAGGTCGCCGTTATCAGTGCTGTATTTGGGAACACAAATGAGAACCATGCCATGGAAAAGACCATCCGGCCCGGTCCAATGGCAGACCAATGTGCGAAGCTTGCAATGAAGAAGAAAAATATTGCTAGCCTGAGTCATGCATTAGTACGGACCTCGTAGAATTTATCAATGTAGGTGGGCCGGTCATCCTTACCCCCATAGCCATAAGCAGGAAAAGTTAGCAACAACTTTCACAATGTCTGCAGCTAATGCACCATTGCCCATGAAATCCTCCGGGAAGCTTCTTTTGGCATGGGCGGCCATATTGACAATCCCAGACACAGTAAAGGCACTGGGACCAACCGACACGAACATACCTGGTCGGACATTTTCTCGGGGCAGCTTTTGCGACATCAGCCGGTAAATAAACGCCGAGTACACCATCAGGGATACCAAGAAGCCAACGCCTTGGATAGTGGTACCACCGATTATGATTCGCAAAGAGCGAGCAGGCTCAAGTTTGGAGCTCAGGATCCCAGCATGAGGGCCAATTATAAGCATTGGGTACGCAGGAAAGATCCAAATAGGTGTCATTTGTGCAATTGTAAATGTCTGGGTCGACCATCTACAGCGCATTAGTTGTCCTGCTTAAATTTTAGGCTCACAAGATTAATGTCAGGAGTCTTTGTACTCACAGAATGAGGTAGATAGCGGCAGAAGAGATGACTGCCAGGGCTGCGTCAATCCAAAAGAGGATTCCAACCGCATATGTGAGCCAGGGCCCTGTATGGTCGGGTCCATACTGTGAGATATTGATCAGGATCGTCCCGAAAGAGACCAGCGAAGCTGGAACAAATAAGGATTCTGTCGGGTGTAGAAAAGATGCTTTGAAAGTGTAAGGGTATAGGTAGAATCGTGTGATCAAAAGACACCAGATTAAGAGGTAGAGGAATAAGTTGGCTAGAAAGAAGATGATTCCAATGGTTTCCAAGCCGCGAAATCTGTAGGGTACTATTTCATACCGGTAATCAGTACTGAATTTCACCCTATACCTATCGTAGGACAAGAACGCACTCACCAAAGTACAAAACATTTGCGATGCCTCCCGTTGCCATAGTCAGGGTGAAAAATGCCCAGGTAATGTGACGAATACGCTTCTTCCACCCAAGACCAGATGGTCTGGTTTCAGCTTCACTCTGGGGATAAGCCATGCCATCCACACCCTCGTCCCCGTCTCCTTCTGACTTGCGATATGAAGAGCTGTGAATGGCGTCTAATGCCGAGGTATGGGCTTGGCTTATTATAGATCCTCTTGGGTGGAAATAAGAATCCCCGCCAGAATTTTCTGCAAGGTCATTTTGCGTATCTTCAATGGTTGGAGTTCGGTAGCCATCATCCCCTGGGCTTCTCAAGTGTCTAGGAAACAAGCGATCCGGAGTCATTGCGGGTTCTCTTCGGGTAACAATGCAGTCATGTTTGTAATTTTTGGACAAAGTCTCAGATCAGATCCTCTGCTGATCTCTATTGGGAACAGGTTCCTCGAATTGCAATTACCCTTGCTGGGTAAAGTTCTCTCAACTCAGGAATGTCGGTCTCCAGCTATATGCTTCGCAACTTGATCTGAGACACATACACAAGGAGTCGGCCTGCTAGGGGCAAAAAGGTGGTGACGACCACACAGATTCGCTTCCGTCTTAAAAGGAATAATTGCTTGAAAACAGGGATACAACCGTCAAAGGGAAAGGAGATAGAAAATGACGTAGAGAAAAGATCGGCCCCAGATCGACAAAGCCAGGAAAGCCCGCGCGTAAGACTGGTTTCAAACACGGTTGGAACTGAAACACATAGGGCTGGAAGACGTATATAGTAGTAGTCTGAAGTACAGCCAGGGAAACTACTAGCCACCACAGTGAGAGTTAAAAGACGAAAATAAAAGGTTTAAAAAATAAAAACAAAGGCGACTCCAGTGCGGCAGCGATCAAGGTTAGACGGGGCAACTAGTTAGTAGTTATAGCTCCTCGCATGTCATCATCGCGGCACTGTTTTTCTCTGCTAACAGGAGGCCGCCGTCCACTTTGCCGGGTGTTGGCACCAATCACACAAGTGGGATCTTCCCGGTCTATGAGGAGGGAGTCTGGGGCCAAGCGGGTGAGCGCAAAGACCGTCAATAGTCAAGGCGCTTCGACACAGCTGATTCGGGGCAGATGAGTGCAACTGATTGTCTAGAATAGCCTTCTGGCACTTGGCCTGCAACCTGTGGAGAGCGCGATATCACTGCCGTAAGTCCGAGGGCGACGCATTGGGCAGGCAATGAATCTGTTGCCTCTCGGATATCGGCACGCCTCCATTTTCGTGGTGGGGAAGGCGGGAAGCATACGTAGTGGTGTCTATCGCCGAGGTGGAAAAGCAATTTTTACTCTCTATTTAGATACAAGACGGGGCCGGGAAAGCTTGGTACCAACTATGTACCTCTAGATCATAACATCGAGTCTTTGTCGCCCAATTATTGCCTGCATAGCACTGACAAATATTCTCATCTTCATCAATCTTGGGGCGGATAAGAGTAATGCCATTCGTTGCGTTGCGTTGCAAGAGTGCCGACTCCCTAAACCCTCTGCAAGTGAGTATATGAACAGTTAGTGACTGCGCAGCTACATAGCCCAGCCTTTTTTTGTTTTTCTAATGTCTTAAGTCTATCATATTTTTTCGTTCTCAGTTTTTTTCTATCTGTATCCTGGCATGGGATAGGATGGATAGTTATAAACTCAAGCCTGCAGGTACACCTCACCTTGCATATGCCACTTACTACGTGGATATACCTGCGCGAGGCTGAATCTCAGATCCAGATCTAGTATGGACACATAATTCTAGAAGCCCATCACTATTTTTTCCACGGTAAAGTGCATAGTACATCTTCGCAAGTACTATATTTCCCTACTCAGGAGCCTGCCGGAACATTTTATGCCCAAGTCAACATCTTCAATAGCGGCGCTTCTAGGATACATTTGATTATCAGTAAGTACACATAACCAGCTTGAGCTCCCATGAGTTGTCGTGTATGCCATACGAGGCATGAGTGAGAAACTGTGTATGTCTGGGTATACAGTAAGTGCCGTGCCAAATGTAAGTATTTAGTTTTGGAATTTATGTCTTATGCATGAACGGGAAGCTACAGCATCTCCTCTGTAGGGAGTAAATACCATCAAAAATGCTAGCATATACTAGTACGGTACAGACTGCTCTTATCCTATACTTGTAGCAGCAGCCACGTATTATATACACTGCTTCATATCAGTTGGAAAAAACTCCTAGTGCTTGCCTGGTTTCCTGCAGGCCAACTGGGAGCTGGATAACAGGGGCCTGGACCACCATTACTGTACTTCTTGGTCAATGGCGTGCATTTGGAAAAGGCCATTGAGTCATATGGGGAGGCCATGAAGGCTTTCCCACTGGCATATTGATACTCTCTATTGTGTTTAGACTTGCGTTGTTAGCTGCAACTAAGTAAAATACCAAGGGAAGGTTAGACAAGCGGGCTTCGGCAGGACTGAAAACACCGATCGTCGTTGATATCACCTACCGGTTGAATTAGTCACATAAATGTGTTCAATTATCCATCCCTCGAATAATCTTAGTAGAACGGCCAAATATACAACATGCTAATCAAAATAGAATGATGGGAAGGCTGAGCAGCTGGCAGCATGTGTCGGGAGTAAGGTAAATGTATGTTTCCTTTTGCATGTGGTAACTTTACCGAGGTTCTGCATCTGAACTAGTGTGATCGGCAGGGTAGGTACATAGATAGCAGAAAGCCTCGGAGAAGCACCTCCAACTTTAGCCTGATTTTGTGACAGATCATTAGGATACATCAGATCCCGCACCTTCTACAGCCATTCTCCATCGGCCCCGCTTTAAAGCACAATGGGAGGAACCGAAGACGGACGGAAGTCTGTGCTGATTACAGGGTAGGTGTTTTACGTGATCATCATCATAATCATCCTTCCCTTGATTACCCGTTGACATGTTACTTATGCTGCCTAATTATGCAGATGCTCTCCTGGCGGTATTGGGAACTCTATGGCCCGTGAGTTCCATCGGAATGGCCTGCGTGTGTTCGCTACCGCCCGTGATGCAAAGACAATCGAAGATCTAGCGTCTATCGGAATTGAGACTTTGAGACTTACTGTGGACGACGAGGAAAGCGTCCGACGATGCTTCGCAGAAGTGAAAGGGAAGCTTGGGGAGAAAGGACTGGATTATCTTGTCAACAATGCGTAAGTAGTTATCTTTCAATCGGTAACGTATCATGAGCTGATATAGTCGCCAGTGGCCGGAGTACGTCTTATTTCTTGATGTTTTCGTCGACCCTTTCTTATGCATTACAGATTATACTGTGCCGGCTATGGAGGCAGAGCTCTCCGAAATCCGTGACACGTTCGAAACGAACTTTGTCGCGGTTGTACACATTTGCCAGACCTTCCTACCGCTACTCATGAAGGCTAAGGGAACTATTGTACAGATTGGTTCTGTTGCTGGGGTGGGTGTGCTCAGAGGAAAGCTTGAGGGGAAGCTACTTGTGCTGATATTGGTCCAGGTTGTTCCTTACGTATTCGGGTCCGTATACAACGCCTCAAAGGCTGCTGTGCACTCGTTTAGCGATGCCTTGCGCGTGGAACTAGCTCCGTTCGGGTATGTTACTTCAATAGCCCCCTCCGCCTGAAACCAATTGATTGACATGGGAATATCTAGTGTGCACGTCACTACCGTCATTACCGGGGGTGTGCAATCTCGCATCGCCCGTGTCAAGCGTACTCTGGTTCCCGGCTCAATCTATGCACCAATTGAGGACGAATATAACCGACGGGTGGTACATAGCCAGGCTGGGGCCATGCCAAACGAAGCGTACGCTCGCAGCGTGGTCACACAGGTCCTCTATGGATCTGCACCATGGCGCTGGATTTGGCCCTGGGCGCAAGGTCGGAAGAGCTGGATCTGGGAAGGTAACAGAAGCTGGTTGATCTGGCTGCTTATGGGGGGATGGGCTTGGAATGGCCTGTCTGGGAAGATTGTGACAAGGATGTTCAAACTCAACAGACTCAGAAGAGCGGCTGGAAAATGAAACAGGAGAGGACGGCATGATGGCCGGTAAATCTGGTTTACTGGACGGGGTTCTCGTCGATCCTTCGGGTCTTTCGTTCCAAATGTAATATTAGCTTTCCAAAACACGGCGTTCTTTGGTTAAGATGGTATCTTCTCTGCTTGAACCGGTTGTGTGACAATAGTAGATCGGTTTCTCCGACATTGCAGGGCAATAAGTGGTGCACGCCGACACTGTAAGACCGTTTAAACCATTTGCCGTATGCCCCCGGGCTGGGAGGAGAAGCCGGCGGATTCAGGGTTCGGGTTCGGGGCGAGGCGCCAGTAGAAGAACTAACTGCCCGAGAGCATAGTAACTGGGCCAAGATATCATGGTTTTAGCTGCTATATATTCCTCACTGATATTGCCTAACGGGTTCAGATCCATGCTGACCGGCCCAGATAGGCCATCGACGAGCTTCAGACCCGAAAGGGTCAAGCCTAGGATCAACCAGGCGAGAGATGGCTCCGTTCCGTGATATTCGCGTCGGGAACTGTGCTGCTTAATCATCCCGAGGCGCACGCTGGTTGGCCCGTCAGGTGACTGCCGATGGCTACTCCCAAGGCAATTATCATCCCGAGAAGCGCAGCCGCGAAAAAGAAAGCTGTTCTCCCATCAACACCCCAAATACCTCCCCCATCTTCTCCCGCATAACCTCACGTCGGAGGATTCTCTTGTTCTTGTCACTCCCCTCTCCCCGACAAGACTTTTTTGATACCTCTCCTCTCCTTTCATCTAAATATCTCAGTCACCATGTTCAAGCTTGCCCGCAGCAAACCGGTTACGGCAGCTTTGAGGGCTGCGACGGTAAGCATCCCTGGGCCCCGTTGCCCTTCACTCCTGTTAAATCTCCTAAAGGCGGATCGGCGTGCTAACATCACCGTTGTTGACAGGAGTCTTCCGTCCAGTCCCGTGTTGCTCAGCAACAGAGAAACCTGTCGATTCACGAATACCTGTCTGCGAACCTGCTCAAGTCGGTGCGTCGGGCATCCAAAAATCTCTTGTAAAACTTCGCCTTGCAACCTTCACTAATACGATACTACAGTATGGCATCGGCATGCCCAAGGGTGAAGTCGCCCGCTCCGCGGAGGAGGCTGAGGCCGTTGCCAAGTCCCTCGGTACGTTTTTGTGATCCGCCATCCAACCCCAAAGTTCGCGACGGCTACTAAGACGAGGACATTTAGGTAATGACGACATGGTCATCAAGGCCCAGGTTCTTGCTGGTGGTCGTGGTAAGGGTACTTTCGACAATGGCCTTAAGGGTGGTGTGCGCGTGATCTACTCGTGAGTGTGACCCGCGTTATTCCGAGTCTTCGCTTGCGCTGACATGTATAAAATTTTAGGCCTACCGAGGCCAAGATGTTCGCTAGCCAGATGATCGGACAGAAGCTCATCACCAAGCAGACTGGCGCTGCTGGTCGTCTTTGCAATTCTGTCTACATCTGTGAGCGCAAGTTTGCTCGCCGCGAGTTCTACCTTGCTGTCCTCATGGACCGCGCCTCTCAGAGCCCCGTCATTGTCGCCTCGTCGCAAGGTGGTATGGACATTGAGGCCGTCGCTAAGGAGAACCCTGAGGCCATCATCACCACTCCCATTGACATCAAGGTCGGTGTGACCGATGCCATTGCTCACAAGATCGTCACCGAGCTCGGCTTCTCCGAGCAGTGCGTCGAGGAGGCCAAGGACACCATCCAGAAGCTCTACAAGGTCTTCATGGAGAAGGATGCTACCCAGATTGAGATCAACCCTCTGTCTGAGACCTCCGACCACAAGGTCATGGCCATGGATGCCAAGCTTGGCTTCGATGACAACGCCGAATTCCGCCAGAAGGAGGTCTTCTCCTGGAGAGACACCACTCAGGAAGATGCCGATGAGGTCAAGGCCGCTGAGTAAGATCCTCCTGGTCCTTGCATCTATACAACGCTCGAAAGCATTCTAATCTACGGCATAGGCACGGTCTGAACTTCATCAAGCTTGACGGTGACATTGGATGCCTGGGTATGGATCCATCGAAATCGACTGATATGGTTTATGCTAACGGTCACCATAGTTAACGGTGCTGGTCTTGCCATGGCCACCATGGATATCATCAAGCTTAACGGCGGTGCCCCCGCCAACTTCCTCGATGTCGGTGGTGGTGCCACCCCTGCCGCCATCAAGTCCGCTTTCGAGCTCATCACCAGCGACCCCAAGGTGACTGCTATCTTCGTCAACATCTTCGGTGGTATCGTTCGCTGCGATGCTATCGCCCAGGGTTTGATCAACGTCGTGCAGGAGATGGGTCTGCGCACTCCCATCGTTGCCCGTCTGCAGGGTACCAACATGGAGCAGGCTCACAAGCTGGTATGTTCTTACCGTCTATGCGAACCAGCATAATGAAATCCACGCGAACACAAGTTAACTGACGTGAATTGCAGATCAACGAGTCTGGCCTCAAGATCTTCTCCATTGAGGATCTCCAGAGCGCTGCTGAGAAGTCTGTTCAGTTCTCCAAGGTCGTCAAGATGGCCCGCGAGATCGACGTTGGCGTTGAGTTCACTCTTGGTATCTAATCTCCGAGTCGGATTTGGATTTATAGATGCGTCACCTTGTCTACTGCTCCACTGTCTCTTGTACTCTTTCTATTTTCCTTTTTCTTTTTTCTTCTCTTACTTCCCTCTTGCTTTCCCCCACTCCCATGGCCAGGGATTCAGAAGGTTCACGTGTGTTCGATAGTGCGGCGAGATGCGGAGCAATAGGCCGACGGTTGGTGACCATAGGCTTCGTTGACGATGCTAACGCACTCCTGCTGCTTAGAACATGATCGGTCATAGGGGTTATCACAAACGAGTTGCTATAATGGTGAAATGAGACGGATTCAGGCGAAGAGAGCACGAGGGGTATCCTTATAGAGAGCATTTGATGGTCCTGTATATCGTCCATTTCTAGGTTCATTTTCTTATGTTAAATGTATTTTCCCTTTTCATGCCCACTTTTTGGTGTTGCCGGGTGATATTACCCTTCATGCTGCTAGAAGCGCCAGATCGACAGACTCTGGAGGTTGTGTGTCTTTAAACCGCCACACTTTCACATCGGTCTCGTGGACCAGGAGAACAAAGTCGCGATCGCCGTGGAGAGTGAACATGTTCGCATACGTATAGATGGCATTCGAGGCTTCTCGAGGCAACCCGAGACTCATGGATTCAGCCGGGCGATGAGGGATGCGGGAGGCTGGACTGGAGATCCAAATGGCCGGTTTCCCCCTATCACTCTTTACGTAGTAGAGAAGATCACTATCCAGCGCGGTCTTGCAAAAGGGAAAATAAGGTGTGCCTTCTTCCTGGGGCAGTGTGTGCACGTGAATCTGGTCCCGCTGCGGGTCATAGGAGACTACAAGAACATAGTGAAGGGTGGTCGTTGTCGTCGTCGCCGACCGCGTACTGGGTTGAGGCGGCGGGGTGCAGTTAAAGACGGCTAAGTTGTTTGTAGAGCTGTCTGATATGTCGGCAATAGTCCAGCCAGGCTGAATAGGGAACGGTAAATGTAATGTATAGGAGGGTAGTAGTGGACTGGTGGTGCGTCCGTGATCATCGAAGGTGTGTTTTACGACACGTAGTCTGTCCCAGGGCGAATGGTGGGGGTTCGTGGGATCATCTCCTCTTTCGAGGAGGAGAGTGGTCACACTGTTGGTGGTGGGTTGCAGGCCTATCAATGCCAGATGGGGTGCTATTTGGATGGTACGAGCAGTTCGCGAGCTCATGTCCCAGTAATAGATCTTGGACTCCTCGTCACCAGCTGCAGAATGGTTGATGAAACTCAGAGCAACCTTGAGACCAGTAACAACGAAGGCCCGAAAGCTGAAAGCGGGGATGCGAAACGAGGCGTGTTCTTCCGTTTCAAGGTTCCAGGCGTGGCAGTATCTAGACTCGGGATGAGCTGGGTGTCTAATGTGTTCCTTTCTCGACGCAGCCGTGACAAGTTGTGGTGGTGTGAGTATTATGTGTACTTACGCACGCGCGCTGATCGCAACCACCATGGAATCGGAGAGACGCAAATCCCAGAACGAATCTCGATTCTCCGTGCAAAAACGCTGGGTGGAGCGCTTGCAGAGATCGTGCACGACGACATGGGTGCCGTTATCTAGCCAAGCACACCTTCCATTGGCGTAATCCAAGCATTCAAGCTTCGAGCCATCTGTTGGGAAGAGGTTGGGGGCCTGGAGATTGCAAATGGGTAGGCCACGCTCCAGACGGATTCTATACTTGGCATACTGGGTGAAGTGATTAGTTAGGACATGTGCTGCTGCGCCCACATGCCCTGTGTATTGTTGGTATACAGCACCCTGGATCAGTTCCGAGGACAGTAGCTGGAGCCACTTTCTAGAGACCTGGTGGAATGTGGCTTGAACTCAGTCTCACGGGTTATAAGGGTGGCAGGTCATTTTTTTATTTCCAAGACCACGAAGGATTGGAACATACCCTTTGAAGGATAAAGAGGTCAGAAAGGTCAAGATACTGAGCGATTTGGACTGCGATTTCTGGAGGCAATTCCGCTAGAATATCTTTTTGAAAGGAGCGCTGGTTGATGCGCTTTTGTACATCGCGCCATTCATGGGGGTTCAGTAGGTCTAGAATGCGATGATACCTGTCGGGGGACTGCATGAGCTAAAAGCTAGCATCGGGGTTCTGTTTTGGGGGGGAGGAGGAAAAAGGAAGATCATGGATGGATGGATGGATGGTCATACGCATCATGTCGAGCTGAGTTCGTATTCAGATGGGTGAAGAGGGTGATGATTTGCTGTATAGGAGCGGCATCGGCGGCCATGGCTGACAGCCAGTCGACGCTATTATAAGACGAGGTCTCAAATTCTCAGCTACGAGGGGGGGAAGAAAGAAAGGTCGATAGATGGATAGTAGTATTTAGGATGGTTTGGATGGCCTGGTGGATGGTACTAAAAGGAAGGGGAAGAGCGATAGTTAAGGCGAGCCGTCCTGCAGGGTCTAGAGCTGCTCAGGCAGGCAGACACTCTTCCCATCTTCACTCTGAACGAAGACTTTGTAGCTACTTACTGAGATACTGGATACTTTTTTAGTGTATCGAGTATTAAGAGAAGAGGAAGGAATTTCCTGTCTGATCTGCTCACAGCTCTCCACTTTCTCGCATACTCATTACTTATTTCTTGAGAATTTGACAAAAGTACCCAGCTACAAGCACCAACAACCATTAGTGAGCGCGGTCACTGCATTCTTGATCCATCCACCAATAAATACTATGCAACTATGCGAAGACGACCTTAGATATTTTAGCCTCGTTCCCTTATTTTATTTTATTTTATTTTATTATTTATTTTCCTCTCCTTCTCCCCCTCCTCCTCCTCCTTCTTCTTACAGACTTTGGGAAGGCTTACGTCGATCGGAAAGTGACGAGGGGGGAAGAAGTTAAGCAAGCAGCAAGCGAGAAACAGGAAAAGCTGGGTCATCGATCTACGGCGCAGCCCCAGCAGGCTGATCGGAAGGCGAAAACCCAAAAGCAACTGAAGAAGGGAACAGAGGTTAGATTTTGGGGGTGGATGGACCAATGGAGAGCACGGCGATGCTTCGGGAAGCGGAGACACTTTTTATTTTTTTTGACTGGCGATGATCCTCAAGTTCAGTCTGGCCCAGACTCTTGGGGGCTCGTCGTTCGAGAATCATCAGCAGCCAGAATTGAATCCATTCCATCCCATCCCATCCTGCAATTTTACTACTACTACTAGTAGTACTACTACTACAACAACAACAAACTACTACTACTATTACTTCTATTACTACTAACTTGACAGAACTAGACTGGACTATTCAGTTACTCATTCATTCTTTCTCTTCTTCTTGTTATTCCTGCTCCTTTTCCCCCTCTCCACCTCCAGTATCTTCTTCTCCCAATCCATTTCTCATTTCTTATCTTCCAACACATCCACTTCTACTTTTACTACCACTTACTCACTTTTTGGGGGTGCTGCTGGTTGCTTGTTCTTGCGGGAATAAGAAAATCATAAAAAGAAAACTGGCAGCTTCCCTCATCTATTGATTCTTATACTTATTATCCTTCAATATTCTGTTTCTTTCGACTTCCCTATTATTATTCAACAATTTCCCCATCATTAATCTAACTAGTATATTATTTTTCTACGTTATTTTTGATTAATTGCATTATTCCCCTTCATAAATTTCTCTCACCCTGAAGAAACTCGGTCTTGGCCTACTTCTTTAAGGCTTGGAAAAGTAAAGGGCAGAAAAGGAATTAAGTACTTTTTTTTTAACTTTACGCAAATCCCGTCGTCTACTCTTTTCGTCTGTCTGTCTCTGCCTCGCCTTCTTTTCTCTCTCTTCTCTCCGTCTGCTGCGGCTCCCTCCTCGGCCGCCCCGTTCTTCATTCCTTTTCTTTTCCCTCCTCCTCCTCTTCTTTCTTTCCCCCCCTCCCTCCCTCCCTCCCTCTCCTCCTCTTGCTCCTGCTCCTCCTTCCCTCCCCTCCCCCCCCCTGGTTCCGCCGCGCGAGATGAGCGGTCTCGCCGATCCCCCGTCCAGAAGTCCGCTTATCCTCACTGCTATCGATGCGCCCGGCAAAACCCGCAAGATTCCTGTCCTTGCCTCCTCTGTTCCTCCCTCCAGCCAGTCCACCGGTGACCCCATGGAGGTTACTCCTCCTGCCTCGGGTGCCGCGCCCCCCATCCATAGCAGTCCCGATAGCGATCGGGCGGGCGCAAACAACACCACCGCCACCTCCAATGGCTCTACTGAACCTTCCAATGTGAATCACCATGCCGCTCCCACTCAAGCCATCGGTGCGGCTGCTGCTGCTCAGCAGCCCAAGGTCGTTCAGACGGCCTTTATCCACAAGCTCTACAAGTACGTCAGAGGCTGTTTGTCGTCCATTCTTGCGTCTTGTTACCTTTTTTTTTTTTCGAATTTCTCCCCGTTCCCCTTACCCTTCTCGGTAACGGACTCAAGCTGACAACCCTGATTAGTATGCTAGAAGATCCCAGTATTCAACACCTCATCTCATGGTCGAGTACGAATGATAGCTTCGTCATGTCCCCGACTTCCGAATTCTCCAAAGTCCTGGCGTTAGTCTTCCCCTATCGCAGACTATCGCGCGCTCTGCGGGAGCTAGCTGCTAACGAACAGCCTAGTCAATACTTCAAACACACCAACATTTCGTCCTTCGTCAGGCAGCTGAATATGTACGGATTTCATAAAGGTATGCGGGCTGAGACAGCAAATGCATTGCCCCGACCGTTATTGATATACATGGATCCCAGTGAGCGATGTATTCCACACCGGTTCGCCAGACTCCGCTCTGTGGGAGTTTAAACATGGGAATGGCAACTTCAAGCGCGGAGATCTCGTCGGTTTGCGAGAGATCAAGCGGCGCGCATCCCGTCATGCATTGATTCATCGCGACTCGTTTCCTGGTCACAAGGCCGCCGCCTCCCAGCCCGGCACCCCCGCTGAGCCAGTTCCCGATGTTACCGAGTCCCGCTTGATGAACCTGGAGCACTCCATGTATGACTTGCATGCTCGTTTAAGGAACGCCGAAGAAGGAAATGCGACCCTCAATGCGAGATGTCAATCCATGGCCGAGAGCTTAACCAGGTGTTACCACGTAAGTTGACAGGCCTCCAATGCGTTTGCGATGTTCTAGTGATTTCGTTTGCTGATTCTTCCCGTAATCCAGTGGACTCACTCCATCTCACGGTTCCTCCAAGGCATGATCCCCGATCGCGAGAGCCTTCTGTATCGAGACGGTGAGGACCATCCATCCTCTATTGATGGCCCCTAAATACATGATAAACTAACTTGGAGTAGTGGCAACCATGCAGGCGGAATTGGAGAAGCATCTTGAGGCTGTGCGGGCCCTGGAGCATCCTCCAGACCCGTACTTGGCCGTCCGACAACCTTACGTCACCGGCATTTCTGGCGATGCAGGTCCGCCGCTGTCGCCGCGCCAAATGCCCCCAGAAGAGAGTCGCCGCCCATCGATGCTGGACCCCTCGAGGGCCGGTATGATTCGACCCCCTGTTCCGCCTCATCTGGCCGTCTCTCCACGGCGATACGGGTCAATCGGCACCGGAAATTCTTCCCCTAGCTACAATCGTTCGCAAGTGCCAACGGTCGTCACTCCGCAGCAACCAATGCCTCATCCTCTTTCCTCCGTTTCCTCCCCGCCTGGGCCTAATCTTGCGCGTCGGCACACTTCGGCGGACATCAGACAGCATGGCTGGCCGCCAACGGGAGTGTCGCCGTTCCCTACCGCCCATCCACCGCCTCAGCCGGCGAACCCCTGGTCTCCGTCTCGACACCGCACTCCGACGTCAAGTGAACAGTCAGTCCGAGATGTGTTGGCCCAGTATGAAATGGGGGCGCCGCGGCGTCTGCAGGAAACTCGACACCCCACCCCCCCGTTGCACCCCGATCAGAACCCCCCGACCGACAACGGCTGGTCCTTAGGACCTAGATTTCCTCGACACGAATCGTCCTTGCCAGCAACTCGACGTTCTAGCATGGCCAGCAATGTTCATTCGCTCCTAAACCCGGCTGATACTGCGGAACGGCCGGACGAAGACCAACACGCCATGGCTGACGATCGAAAACGGAAGCGATTGGAATAAATCCAACTTCGTCATTTTTACTTGCTGCATTCATACCCTTGATCCGGGGATTCTCGCAGGAGCATTGCTTGGTGCTGATATTCGGGACCCGACCGGAATCGGAGCTGTAGATTTCTTGTTCTTCGGGGCGCACGTTTCTTTTTATATTTGGAAAGGGGTAAAGGAAAAGCATATCACCAGGAGAAACTCACGCTCAGCCCTTCATTTCTGGACTGGTACTGCATCTTGTGGAGTATTGCCCATCTGTACTTTCTGTGTTTAACTTCTTTTTGGGTGGGAACATCTACTGTACAATTGATACAACATACATGGATTCCAGCATGTTGGAACCCATGCTTACCGGGCATGGTTTGGATGGCACTAATTTGTTTTTCTATATTTCTTGGACAGCATTGCTTCTTGATGGTGGAGGCCCTTGCACAGACGACCGTTCTTGGGCTGCACCGCCTTCCTGTTGTTATATTATATACCCTGGGTTTGGGGTGGTGGTGCACGATATTGTGTGGGTATAGTAATTTAGATTTGCAGTGGACATAGTGATATTCGGCTGCAGGCGCACAATCATTTGAGTCTTTTGGATTTGATAACATTATCAGACGTATTCACGAACAAGTAAACACAGAGAACTAAATGGGTATATTCATTTCCAGGAGGTTATAGACATCTGATTATATCGTAGACTGGGCTCCGTTCAGGTGAGGCGAGAGGATGTAAAACGCTTGTTCACCTCTTCTTTCTCTTCTTCGATCGCTCGGCCAAGATCTCATCCAAGAAGCTCGTCGCCTTCTTTCTCCGACTAGCGGGCCGTGATGAAGCTCCCGGTTGCTTATCTGACTGATCGGCTTTGGCTTCACTGCCATCACCGACATTACTCGTCTGCTTTGACTCGCCAGATTCGCCTCCAATCGTCTCAGACTCCGACTGGGCTTGCGGTTCAGCCGCCTTGCGCTTTTTCGCAGGCATAGCTTTCTTCCTCCCTATCAGCGCCGTCCGTCCTTCTTCCTCGTCATCGTCATCCTCTTCTTCCGCTTTCGCCACCCCATTCTTAGCGGGATTTGTTGACACAGCCGCATCATTACCGCCTCCCTTCGCAGTGGAGGCCTTCTTCGCAGCCATAACCTTCTGGTAATTTCTCCCCAGGAGCTGTTTTCGTAACTTGTCATTCGAATCCAATTCGCTTCGATTCCAACTCCCGTCCGCGGCTTTAGTAGGGAGCGGTGCACCGACTCCTAATCTATACATTGAACCGATTGTTAGCTATATTCATCAATTGTTGTATTTCCGAGACCCTCCCCTCCTCCCCCCGGGAGGATATTCTAGAAGATAGCGCAGGCAGAAAAGAAAAACAAAAAAAAGTGTATCATACGTTTCCGGAACTGCCGTGAAAATCTCATCCTCTTCTCGCTGTAATTCCTCTTCGGTTTTCTTGCTGTTCGCTTGATCGTCTGCTGTCGGTGCAGGTAGCCATGAGGCAACGAGACGCTGGCTCCGGGCTAGCGCTACGTTGGCCTTATTGAGAATTATGTCTGTTTCTGATTTTGACGCCGACATTGTGTCTGCTTTGTATGTTTTATTGTTGCGGTGGTGGTTTGATGGCTCGATATGGATGGAACTTTTTGCGATAGCAAGGCGGGATTCGCTGGCAGAATTCTGGGCGGTGGAGTGCGGGACCGCTTGCTTGTGAGGGTTAGAGTAAGTTTTTGGTAGTATTGATTGAGACTGTTGTGAGGGGGAGATTTTGGTTGTCTGCTTGGAAGAATGATGCGATTGGGTGTATATTGTGATAGGAATCTCTCAATTGGGTTATTATAGTTCTGTAGTGTGAATGTTCACTCGCTTTGGGAGCATCACGTTTCCCCATCACTTCAAACATATATAATCACTGAGCAATGCTATGACGGTGCAACTTATATACAGTCTACATCTAAGAAAGTAGTAGTATGATCTATGTACAAACGTAGTCCAAACACCAAATAATCCACATCAATCATCACACAAGGGTATTCGAATTCCAGAAGAGAAAGGGTCACTAAGCAAGAAGAAATAGTTTGGACATCAATTCACGCCGATTCCTGTTGATGCCGTTGCTTCAGTTTCTTCTCCGTCTTCATAAACTCTCGAATCCCCACAGGGATGCTCGCAAACAAGTCATCGTCCGAAGTAGGCGCCGACCAATTGGTCTCACTGCCACCACCATCGTCATCCATGCTCATGCTGGCTGAGTTGACTTCCGCTCGTGGAGTATGTCGCATATCCGAGGCATTACTTTTGGTCGCACCCTTCGCCTTGGCTTGTTCAAGCCTGAAGGCCCAGTCCTCCAGCTCGTCTCGAAAATCGTCCCATACGCAGTGGACGCAGCCACTCATGCAGCAATTGTCGGGCTCTTCCGGTCGAGGAGGGATAGCCACCCCGTTTATGGTTTTCCACGTTGTATCCGGTGCGGAACCGGGATCGTAGCGTGAGGACCGGCCGGGACCAGCTAACCGAGTGCCGAAGACGATGGCCATCTTTTCCTGTGGTGTTTGCGCCTCTGGCTTGGGCTCTTCCGTCTTGGAATCGGTTGTTTCGTGGTGTCGGTAGGGTGAGCGGGTGGACAAAATATCATAATAATAGCCTGATAGTGGATGCGCTTGACGAGATTTCGAGTCACTCACATTACCCGCCTGTGTGTCTTGGACGGTGGCATATCTGCGGGTGCTGGAGCGGCGAATGAATGGAGTGACGGCACGTGGTCGGGTCAATCGAGATGCATCGGGTATGCGCGAACCGGAAAGACAGACATGACAACGCCTGAGGAGGGACGAGCGAATCGCCAGACAAGGAGCGTCCATGGTGAAGCTGGAGTCGTAACAGGAAGAAGATGAAGATCGGAAAGAGATGGCAGAAGAAGATGAGAAAGCGGCGGTTATGTCATAACCCCGAGTCTGCAAACAGTGCAAACCGGCAACGCAGTGGATGTTGTTGATGTTTGGAGATGCGCTGCCCACGGACGCTTCTCTATCCCCTCTGCGGAGGTTAACTGTTTTTCCGCATGGACGGCTGATCCGGTGCTTTGCCTTCACATCTTCACCAGCCGCTACATAAGCGACCCCGACCGCCCCATCATTGTCTCACCGCGTCGCAAATGAACGACCCCGCGCCGTCTCAGGATGACCCCCAGCAGCGCACCATTCAGCGAACATCCTACCAAGCTCCCACTAGAGCGAGCTTAGCCAGATCGCATCCCACCCTTTTGGAGACCGATAATAATAAATCTCCGGCAAGAAGTATGCAGAAACCGAACCAAGCCAGATCGAGAGCGCTCGGTCTACGAGACCGCAAGGCTCTGAGACCGTCTTTGACCTCGACTGCCAGCCCTCTGGGCTCCCTCAAGGGTAGCAAACAGTCGCCTGTATCGTCCCTTTCTGGCCGTCGCTCTAGCGGTCTGGCCGCTTTTGCTGCGCCTCCAAGGCGAGTCTCAACGAGGATCACGGCCTCCGATCTAATGTTCCGCTCTCCGTCTGCATCCCAACAGAGTACAGAAAAAGTACCACCACCTACCGATACCCCCGAAAATCAATTGGCGTCGGAACTGGACAGTGCAACCGGCGATATAGATGCGAATGAGGGATTACAACAACCGTCGTTCCAGGACATCCTTGACGAGCCGGATCTTCCACCGACGCCGACCCAGTTGGGCCTGGAACGGCCTCCCGGGCGACCAAAAGGACTCCTAAGCAGTAGCCCAAGCTCACAACCGGGAAAGTGGGGCAGACGAAGGAATACAGATGGTAGAGAACAAAGCCCGTCAAAACTAAGGAAAGTCGATTATGGCGAGGCAGGAGAATCCTCGGAATCCGGCTTGTTGGATCGGACTTCCTTACCGGAGGAGATCTTGATGAAGCGAAAATTGAAGAACAAGCTCGCTTCAGAACTGCAGCAATTGAGGAAGGATATCTCGGAATTGGAGACATGGTCGAAGGACCTGGCCCAAGACGATGCCAGTGAAGAGCGAGATTTGACTGGGTTGATGTGAGTTTCACGCTTGTTGCGCCATGAGCGACTTTTCACTAACCAGACAGCAGTACTTTGTTAGCAACATCATACCCTCCTCAATCGACCCCAACGGCCTCAGGCGAAACCTCCATATCGACTCTTATCTCTTCATTACTCCCCTTTTCCACCAAGGGACCCCCGAAACCCCCACCCGAGGCCCCTCCAGTGAACCCATTTGCGCTTGGAGAGCATGCGCAAACAGAAGCATATCTAACAGCTCTTGCGCCATTACAGCTTACGGCGTACTCCGAATCCATACCTAGCACCCCTGACCTTGTCTTGGAGAGGCACACTCTCCAGTTTTCCGCCCCGCTACCCTTTCCCTCCAACCGCTATAAAGTATTTGTAACCTGCGATGTCAACCCAGAAACGCAATCCCTGGTCTCCATATCATCTGCTTCACAGATGACCGAAGAAGATGCAAGGACGCCAGAAGATCTGCGGCGTTGGATAGACGCCAGGCTGGCCAATCCGTTGCTTAAGCTAGATGTCACAGGTCTGTGCTGGGGCATTAACCGATACTGGGAGGCTATGGTATCGCGGGCTGAGTTATGGTTACACATGGAGGAACAACATGCTGAACTAATCAGTGGTAATGCGAAACAGAACCATGAGACTAAAACAAAGAGCGCAAGCTCGCAACCCCTCGGCTTGTCGGAATTGCGTCAGATTCTACCGCACCTCGAGCGCACGTCTATGCTCTTCGAATCCAAGAACGGCTCACTCAAAGTCCTGGTATCATGCCAATTAACATTGGATGAGTGGACAAGTGAGCCACAACTAGCGCCAGGACTCAGCGTTTCTCTGTTATCCGAGTCTGATAGCGGCTCCAGACGCAAGGTGGACCAAGAATCCAAACGTCTGTTCCAATCAATCCTAAATCCAAACGAGAACAACCAAGCTGGAAGCAGCGGCAGCGGAGTCCCTGCTAGCGCAATTCTAAGAGCTACAGACTGCGTCTTGCGCGCTTTGCTCGGTACGAACTCGAAGAAATGAACACTCACTTCATTCATGATATCATCAAGTGTTAATTTATTTGGACTAAACGGATGTCAATGGCGTTTTCTTCGATCTGGATGGGCTGGGAAGCAATAAGGGTTTGTCGACGTCGGCGTCATCGGCGAATTTGTTCATCGGTCTTTGTCTGTTTCATATAATCCCGCAGGTTTATTTTCTTCTCATGTAATTTATACGCCCCTGACTTGGCATCCGATGCCCGGTCAAATCATTGGATATGGATTTTGTATGGCATTACCTATGTGTACCTGGGTGACTTTAGTTATAGAGGAAGTGTGCGAGATCTAAGCTATGGCAGCTGGCTGATCGTAGAAGCCGTGATAATAAGTCCTCCCAAGAATATGTAACCGTAAGATTATATGCAAAGATCTTATCAGACAAGCTAAGCTGCATGACAGTTATGCATATACCGTCCAAAAGGAAGTCAGAATTACGGACTAACATCTACAAAATATCGACGGGATCACATAATTATACTCCGTATATCATCGCGTTTGTACACTAGCTTGCTCCGTGCCTCTGCGTGCTTCAAGTTTACCGTATTCAAGTGGGTATTGTGAGGTGAACCCGAAGGCTGAGGCTCGGTTCCCGCGTCCTTCGGTAGATAGATCGAATGGGCAAAATCGTCCCGGAAGGAACATAAAGAAAAGACGACAAATAGGGTGGAGGGTCTTCACTTCATTCGCGTTAGGGGAGAGCTAGTAGCTTTCTCAGGACATGAAAATTTGGGACATTTGCATTTCGAGGGGGTTTCGGAGCTTTTTATGTTAAGGACAAAGGTGAAAACGGAAAATAGAGGAGCGACGCCATGCCACACAAGGTACTAATCCCCGACTTGAAAATTGACCCGATCATCATTAGCTGTGATTCAAGAAATCTATTTCTTAGCGGCAGACTCCTCCTCAGCCTTGGCCTTAGCACGCTTCTCCCGGATACCCTTGTAGCGGGCCTCGCTGCGGGCCTCACGCAGCCGGCGGTAAGCAGCCTCCTCGCCCTTGGGAAGGTCGTCACGCTTGACCTCGGTGACAGCCTCCTCGAGAGTGGCGTTCTTGATGGGGAGGGCACCACCGACACGGGTGGCGAAGCCCTCGGTCTTGCCCTCGGCGAAAGCAGCCTTGGCAGCGTTGACCTCCTCAGCGGAAGAGTCAAGCTTCTTGAACTGACCGCTCTTGCGGGGGAAGAGGATCAGGCGGGCCTTGTAGTCCTGGAGGCGAGCAACATTGGCGACGAGCGATTCCTTGGAGTAGTTGACACGGCGGTGGTCAACGGCGATACCGACGGTGCGAGCGAGCTTCTTGGGGATACCAGCTTCCTATAGTGCGAAAAAAAATAATCGTGTAAGCCTCCGTCCGTTTATTTGCATCCTGCCCAGTCGCCAGGGCTTTTTTTTCCAATCGCCATCACCCTTTCTTGTTTCTGGTGACATCGAATTGCACACAAGGGACGAAATTTACCTTCAGCTCAGCAAGGGTGAAACCACGGCCAGCACGGACACGGCGGTTGTACTTGACGGTAGGGCAGCGCACAACGGGGCGCAGCTGGTCAACCGGACGAGGAGCAACAGCGGCGGCCTTAGCGAGACGGGCCTCACGACGGCGGTGCTTGCGGCCAGGCTATTGAAGCAGAAAAAAACACATGTCAGTCCACCACGCACATAGGAAAAAATTTTCCCATCCCGTATTCTTTTCCAAAAGGCGAGTCGCTCGTTGTAGATAGGAATCGGTTGGGTAAAGGTTTTATTTTCGAAAGCGTACCTGGTCGAAGTGCACGCGCACACGACGCTGCCAGTCCTTGTGGAAGTCTGAAATCGAAACCCATCAGCCCATATTATTCCAGCCGGCCAGTTGTAACCCGATATATTAAACAATATCCACCATCGCATCCTTCCTCGAGCAGGTTCACTCACGCTGGTTGAGAATCTGGTTGTTGTGCTTGATCGCCTATATCCACCACGAGGTCCCAGGTCAGCATATTGGGTCTTTTGTGAAAAAATAGCGTCCGATCATCGAATTGACCATCTAGCGACGCCATTTGAGCAATATTGGATAGAATAACGCACCATTGTGACGGATGGGGATCAAGGCCGGGAGATTGTCGTCGTCGTCGTGGGTGGTTGCTGGTCGTATCTCAAAACTCCTCGTCTCACTATTAGGTGGAACTTTTTTTGGTGTGGCCAACCGCGCAGAGCCGCATCGCCTCGCTTAGCGAGCCCTACCCTGCTTACCCGTTTCGGAAGGTCACCCCCAGACTTTCTCCGTGGCAGAACGGCTTTAGGGATCTGGGACTGCCATCCAGACTCGACTAGAATGACTGGAGACTTATATTACATGTGTATATTCTTGGGGTTTTATTCTCATTGCCTTGTGGCAGGCTTACTGGCTGCTGGAGTGTTGCGACTCAGGCTGTGCTTGTACTCTTTGCGACCGACCGACCGCCTGTATTGTATTGTTCTTCCCTCGTACCGAGTTACTTCTAGGTAAGCTGGGTGCGGTACACCCTCGTTACATCGTTACACGCTGAGTAAGGTCCATGTGACTTGGCGGTTCAACGAGGGAGTCACTCTGCAAACTATCTACTTAGTATGTATGTGGATATCCAGAATATGCTGTTACTCGACCCATGGCAGAGCGCTTTGGCTCCTCTAATATGTCAGTCAACAAATATATTATTATTCAATCCTTGCAAATGTATGTCATTATGTCCAAAGCCGCCAACTATTCGTATCGAAGCCATCATCATAATGATAAAACCTAGAAAGAAATACTCCTGTGGTAAGTCCCAGAACCAGTTGTCAATAAGTCGTAGTACCCTTAGAAAAAAAAACACCCAGTGGCCCCCATCGGATTTTACAGTTCATCAAGATTCGTCATAGATCCCCAGGAAGGAAAGTAGTACATAAGAAACAACCCCAAGATCCAAGCAGCATCCCCTCTGTATAGCAAACATAGCATATCCAGCCACAACCAGCTTTGACCCGCAATAGTGATAGGCGACTAGGAGTCCTGGCGGTGAGGAAGCAGATACTAGTAGATAGCTAGAAGCCCGTTATACGTGATACACACGCTCCATGGTTGTGCACGGGTCATGCTTAATTATTCCAGGTGTCAATGCCGAGACCCACCCTTTCCTCCGCTTTCATTTTCTTCGAAGTCGCACCATCAAAACTCGCCTTGCGTTTAAGACCAATCGATGGGCGCTCAACACCTGACTTCCTCACTTGACCGAACAATTTGGTTTGCAGAAGTGTGCTGGACTTGGGTGCATTCGCTATGCCTCGGCTCTCACGGCGGTTGCTGAAAGCGTGGGAACGAAGCATGTTACTGGCAAGAGCACCAGCCTCTGACGCTGGGATGTCTTCCTCCGTCTCAGCTTCCTCGATGTCGGACGCCGATATCGTGCTGTCTCGATCACGGTGGCTGTCATGAGACTCCTTTCCCGGTGTGCTATATTGGTTCCCTCCAGGGGCCATTCGAGCACGGGACGGTGTCATGGGAACGGAGGGGAGTGTGTGGTTTCCACGCATCTGGCCATCATTATGCTGCTTATAAGTACGGCTCCTGTGTGGTGTGGATATGACACTCGGTGATCCTCGATTGAGAACACGGTCGGCAGCAAGGAGTTGCGCGAACGGGTCATGGCTATCGCTGCCGTTCACCTGGCGGCCATCGTGCTCCACATAGTGAGGTACAGGCCGCCTATGAGAAGCTTGTATTTCTCTCTGGGGGCTGGGCGACATCGGTCCATGTTCAATCATTTGAGAGAAATGCTTCCGATTGTCTCTGATACGCTCTTTCAGCAATTTATTTTCCTCCTCGAGAAGGTCTGACCTCTCCTTCTCTTGCTCAATTAGCTTTTTAGCCCGACGCAGCCGCCGATCGAGTGTGGCATTTACTCTTCCAAGCTCTTGATTGCGCTTGAGGGCAAGCTCTAATTCCACATTGGAAATCTGCTGCACTGCTTTGACCTCAGGTTGGCAATGACGACTGCGATACTCAGAGCTCTGGATGATCTCGACCTCTCTTCTAGCAAGTTGATGCTCTACCTCGGCACGCTTGATAGCTTCGTTACTAGTGAACGATAGCAAACTATTCTGTAGCTTGAAGTGCAGAGCTGACATGCGAGCCTCTTGGGCAACACTCAACAGGTCTTTAGCCATAGCCCGGAGCTTTGACTCATCGGCGGTATCAATATCATCGGCAGTGGGGAGGTTTTCTGAGGCGCCATAGGCAACACAGAGGGTCTTTTGGATATCGGGAGGAGAAGCTAGCAAGGAGCTTGAAGTAGATCTTGACCGTTGGCGCGGGGCCCCGGGAATTTGTGATGATGGCGGCGGCGTCATATCAGATGAAGGTAGCGAGGGTGATACAGATTTACTCTGGTCAGAATGTGATACCGGGATTCCAGCACCTACACTCAGGTCTGGTGATGCAGACAGACTTGCACGTTGCATGGGCGTTGCGGGGCCGGTGATCTCTGCAGGAGGGGCAAGGGGGCCTTGCGAGAGTTGAGAATCAGGATCTTGCGACATGACAGATAACAATATGTAGAAACAGGCAGGTGATACCCGTCGATAGGAAAAGTTTAACTAGTAATAGGTCAGCATTGGCTGCATCAATGCGTTGTATTGAACAGTTGTCGTGGGGCGGTCAGACGCATACCAGATCCGAAACACGATCGATCAAAAGTACGGCTAGTTTGATGAGCTCGCCAGGATGAAGTTGAGTGTTTGAGCCCGATTGCTGCTGCGTAGAGCCCCTGAGGAAAGGAGCGGAAATGGGTAGAGATGTGCTAGAACGAGCAAGATCACGATGCAATTGAGCATCGAATGCCACAGCTCAGATGTTCTCGAGTTGCTCTATGATGGATAGCTGGGTCGGTGCGCTTATCACTGATAGGGCCGTTGAGGCACGTTGGTTGGACCGAAGCAAGGCACTTAGTAGGCGATAAGGAGGCGGTAGCAAAGTATCCCGAGCGGAAGACGTAAGATAGGGAAGCGATAGAAGGCTGATGGAAGATGTTCCAGAGTGCAAGGGGAATTGGAGAGGGGTATTGCAGATGATAGAGATAGGTGAACAAGATGAAGGAAGTAAGGAGCGCGCCGGCGGAGGGACGGTTTGATGCCTTAAGGATGTTTGTTGCGGGCGATGCGCATTTCGGGGAGGCTGGGAAGTCGCTTGCGATGCTCAGCCTCGACCAACCACGACCAACCACCCGCTCCCACGTGAGTCCAGCCGCGCGCTAGTCCTTCACCATGCCTGATCCAGCTAGCGTCCAGATCCGCGACGCTCAGCAAAAGGTAAACACAAGCCGAACCCCATGGGCCAGAGCTATCGTCACTCGGGCAACCGATCGTAGGATTCATCTTGATCCTGAATCTGTATCAAGATAGATCTCCTTTCGGTAGGTTAATGGTTTACGTTTCATTGGCCGCGGCGAACATACTTTGTCGATAGTTTTACCAAGTGTGTACCATCACATTCCTCCCATCTCATATACCGTGTACTCAGCAGAGAACATTAACATGGGGCTGTAAATTGTACGCTACGTATTCAGTCTTTGCGTTTTCTAGCTCTCTTGGTTTATAGTGGAACGGCATGATTTCAGAAACGACCATCTTATCTACTAGAGTAGCCAGGCTCGACATATAAGTATTAGGGCTTAATTTTTGAGGGTTCGAATCGGGAAAGGATGGGCAGAAGCCGGGAGAGTGTCACTATTGAAGTTGTATGCCTGAGAGATCGGGAGACGACGCCAGAATATGTCAGTATGACTATCTCTGTTGACGAGGTAAATTGGGCCGGAGATTTGGTTCATCCATAAGATTAATACGAAGCCATTGGAACAGTAGGGTCTAGACTTGCAGACACCAGACATTCCACGTGAGTTACTTTTATGAAGTATGCCTCTAATAAGTGTGGGTTTGAGGTAAATGCCAACGCTGCCACGAGGAAACGTAGTACAGATTGAGAATGCCACTATCTACATTCTACATGGGAGACCCAGACTTTTGGTACTAGGTGAAGGTCTAAACAGAGGTTTATTCGCAACCATAGCGTATGGGACGCGGAGCCACTAGTACTACCGTGTACTAAGGTAAGGCTCCAAGATTGACCATGACATACTGCTGGTTTCTTGCTAGTGACAGGTTCGTTTAGCGACAGGCTGAAGAAGCAGTGTCCCACTATCTATTTATGGAGACTGTCCTCATGGATGATAATATCAGCGACTTGTCACATCGGAAGGCATCGTACTCACTTGTAGCCCATACAAGCTGCACCATAGAACCGCTATTGTTCGGTACACGACTAGTACATGCAAGCTTTTCTTCAAGCTGAAGGAACCAAGCATAAAACCCCCTCCTGGGTCTCCTCCAGTTCCATCGGGACGATCACGCCGATGTGGGGAGCGGATCAGGTATGTGGCGGCCTCAGGCAGCAGCACATGCGGCGATTCCCCCTCGTGGGAAGTTGTAAACAATAATCCATTCCCACCTCGAATCCCTGAGAGCAGCGCACCAGCAAGAACCATCGCTATTGCGTTCGCGCCTCGCACCGTTCCGGTCTTGTTACTCTTGCGTCCCGCCGCTATTTACAATCATCATGTCTCACTGCCTGTGACCGAATTCCACCAACTATAAATCTCTCTCCATCCGATCCGCATTACCACCCATACCTGGCACTTTCGTCCACAAGTGCTTAACCTCCATTTACAACCGACGGAAAGATGGATAACCCACAGAAGACCCCCAGCCGACCGAGTGGTATTCCTCGCTTGGCCTCCAGATTACCTCTACCGACGTCTGCCGCCAGTAAACCCCTGCGTCCCTCCCCCTCACGCGAGAAGCTACAAACCGACCCGGGTCTCCACGCCAGCCGGTTGAGCAGACCTTCTCAAGAGCCGGTGTTCAAAAAGCCCTTACCGAAGTATACGGTGCCGAAGAAGTCCTTAGGTACCCAGCGTCAAGAAAGAGAGACTTCTCAGACAAAGACAAGCGATACGGGGATAACAGAACCCGAAGGGGCACTGAACAACAAATCCCTATATCTGGAGGCCGACAATGTACCAGCCCATGATGCAGAGTTTCGAGGTCGCACACGACCATCGCTCTCTGAGCGAACAATTGAGACTCTTTCCCAGATCCCCCCTTCGCCTAGACCTCAGAGCAGACAATCTAGTAGTTTCTTCGGCGCAACTAGTCCCATGCGCTCGCCGTCTCGTCCGCCGTCTGCAATGACAAGCTATTCAAGGTCGCCGTCAAGATCATCTTCTCGTCAACCCAGTGGAAGCGACTATCTTTCTCGCCCGCCTTCGTCCATGCGCCTTCCATCGAGGAGTGGTCCATCGTTTTCTGCGAACAGTGCAACATCCGATCAAAGCTCCATTCCAAATACAGATAGTCCATCGAAATTGAAACCGCCCTCTACTAGGATCACACCCTTCGCCCGGAAAAATGACGTGACATCGTCATCCAATCCTCGTCATGCACCTACCAGGGTGTCTACAAGGCCCACAGAACCGACTGTAGATGCTCCGCAGCAACGCCTCGAAGTGAGGAAAACCCGGAAGGTCCAGCAGGGTCTCTCGGGCCAGAAGCCATCCTTGATGGGTTCACGGTCGCCATCGGCAAAATCCACTTCATCAGATCTTACTCCGGAACAGCAGACTGAGATGGAAACTCGAAAGGTCTCGAAATCGTCTAGCGCTTTGAGGGAAAGTATCGCGAAGGCGAAGGCCGCGCGGAAGGCTGAGGCTCAGAAAACCACGGAGTCAACAACTGCTGCCGGTGGATTCAATTTCGATACGGACGATCCATTCAACCAAGGTCCTAAGGATCCAAACCATGGACTTCTGCGGAAGCGCATTGATGCAGGTCGAACTTCTGGTCACTTGAATATCGCGGCTATGTCTCTTAAAGAACTGCCCAAAGAAGTCATGACGATGTACGATTTCGATTCCAACTCCACCACCGATTGGTATGAGAGTGTGGATCTTGTTAAACTTATCGCTGCGGATAACGAGTTCACGGAGCTCCCCGATGACGCTTTCCCCGATATCGATGCACACGAGCTAGACCCAGAGGTTGACGAAAGAGGAAATCAATTTGGCGGGCTTGAGCTTCTAGATCTTCATGGCAATATCTTACAATCGCTACCAGTAGGCCTCAGAAGGCTGGAGCGGCTGCACACTCTGAATCTATCAAACAACAACCTCAATATGGACGACATAAATGTTGTTATGGAACTAGAAACTCTCAGGGATCTGAGACTCGCTAAGAACAAGCTTCAAGGAGGCCTTACCCCGGATATCGGACGCCTCAGCAACCTGGAAGTACTGGACTTGCACGAGAACTCCTTGACAGAGCTTCCCAGAGAGCTTGCAAAACTGGCCTCCCTCCGAGTCTTAAACGTGGGCAATAACCAATTAAGCGCATTAGCATTCGAGGAATTGTACATGCTCCCGCTTAAGGAGCTCCACGCACCGAGGAACAAGTTGAAGGGAACTCTTTTGCCAGCTTCTGTGCAAAAGTTCGAGACACTACAGATCTTGGACGTAGCTAGCAACGCCTTGGTGAGGCTCTCGGAGAACGAAGGCCTCGAACTTCCCAATCTGCAGAGTCTAGCAATCAATATGAACCGCATTCAATCTCTACCCGATGTTTCATCGTGGCAAGCTCTCTTGACCCTGTTAGCGGAAGACAACAGTTTATCAGATCTTCCTCACGGATTAACTGGCCTGAAGAATATCAGGAATGTTGACTTCACTGGTAACGATATTTCCAAGCTGGACGAGAAGATTGGCCTAATGGAGAGTCTCGTCAACTTCCGCATAGCCAATAATCCCCTGCGGGAACGCAAGTTTCTGAGCATGAACACGGAGGACCTGAAGCGCGATTTGCGTCACCGATACGAACCGGAACCGCAAGATACAGACGATGAAGGCTCTGTTGCGACTCAGTTTACGTTGGCGCCAGAAACACCGGTCCAGACGGCCTCCTGGCAAATCAAGTCTGGTGGTGTCCTCGACAGGTCCTACACCGATCTGCGGGAGGTAGAAGTACAGGAGTTGGAACGCATCGATTTCCACGAAGTCCGATGCCTCCAATTACAACACAACGAGCTAGAATGCTTTCCTGTTCCGGCTCTCAGCATGCTCGCATCTAACCTAGCTGATCTGGATCTTTCAAATAACCCGCTAAATAGCGGATCTCTCTTCTCAGGACCCGTTACCCTCCCCAGTCTTCAGAATCTCACCATTACCGCTGCCGGCTTGACTACACTTGAGCCGCTACTAAGTAATCTTACTGCGCCAGGCCTCACCTACCTTGATGTTTCATCCAACCGTCTCTCCGGATCCCTTCCGGCCGTGCGCCGGAGCTACCCGAACCTGACAACATTATTGGCTTCTGATAACCGAATCAGCAATCTCGAATTTGAAGCTGTGCAAGGTCTACAGGTTCTAGACGTAGGGAACAACGATATTGGCGTTCTGCCACCGAAGCTCGGCCTTTTGAGGACCGAAGGTTCTAGCAAGAATTGGGGCAACGGCTCACCCCTGCGACGCTTCGAAGTAGCAGGGAATAGTTTTCGGGTTCCCCGCTGGCAGGTGGTAGCCAAGGGGACCGATGCGGTCCTCGAATGGCTCAAAGATCGTATCCCTGAAGAAGAACTTCGTGAGTGGGAAACGGGCGACGAGTCAAATGACGAGTAAATTTGCCGTGTAATGTGGGGAAAGGTACGACTAAGATCGAGGCAACCTGCCCGGGAGGACACTTGATTTCGGCTTCTTAACCTATGTATATTGTACCATCTAAAGCGCACATACATGCAAAGCATTGGTATCATATATCTCGCATCCTAACTGTGACTATGTACTCTGCCGGGAAAATCTCACTACTGCTACATGGACATGTAACTCGAGACATATCCCGAAAACTTAGTATGAAAGGTGTTGCGAACGCCTATTCACTGTGTCGCATCAATAACAGACTTGCTAACTTGGTCCATGACCTTCAGCCAAGTCCTGGCCCAAGTGGTGAACTTGTCCTCCTTCTCCTGAGGCGCATCGGCAGAATCAGTCACATCCAAGGGAAGACTAGCAAGATTGACAGCCTTGACGGCGCAGTCCTTTGTCATGCGCATGTATTGGAGGGATTTCTCCGTATTCGCCTCGTACAACGCGCCGGCTACCTCGTCAACATGGCCAGGGATCTGCTGCAGGTATTTCATCAAGGATTCCAGCTTGCCGACGAGTGATGGCGAATCAGAAGTTTTCTTTAGTCGGTTCGCCGAGATGGTGGGGTATATCTGCGAGACTGGTTTCAGGATCCGGAGGGCCGACTTTTTCTGCTCTTGAAGAGCAGCCGTATCTTCATCATCATCATCGTCTTCATCCTCCTCGTCATCCTCATCGGCCTTGCCCTTCCCGTCATCGCTCAGAAGGTCATCGAAGAAATCATCGCCCTCCTCATTGGGGTCCCATTCCTCAATCTCCTGGACTGCATCCCGTACAAGATCTCTCCATTCTTCCACACGTCGGACCACAAACCCAACCACACCCTTCGCTGCAATATCAATCAGGACGTCGCAGGAGTCCCACAAGCGTCCAGCCGCCACCGTGACCACGTCCTTCTCCGACTGCGACAAGCCGGCTTCTTTCTTCTGAGCATCTTCCGCCTTTTTCGCAACCGTCTGGACCTCCTGGAGTAGTGCTGTCGTTTCCTTTAGTGCTGTTTGGGTCAGAACATGCACTTCGGATTGGAACGCCTTCGTGTGATGGGCCGGGGTGACGAGGAGTGCTGCGGCGACCAGAGAGGGCAGCACGGACTCATTCAAGGCGTTAATGACACTTGTGACAGCAGAAGGGGTAAAGGGGGAAGTAATCGTGAGGAGCGAGAGCTTGGTGACTTGCGATTTCAGGGTTGTCGACGCGGCGGAGAGGAGGGGTAACGCATCTTTTCCGGAAAGATCGGTGGAGGAGGAAATATCGCTGGATGGGGAAGCAATGGCACCCTGGAATTGTTCCAGGAGCGTCAAGCTGGTCGTCAGGGTGGACTGAAGTTTCTCGGACATTTTGAGGTGATTGCGCTGTTCGGGTTAGGGCGGTTTGTTGACTAACTTTCTTGAAAGGAAAGCGATGCGGATGGACTGGACGAGCGGAGAAAATTGTTGTTGCTGCGGGGCGCCTTCAACTTTCCTTCTGATTAGGGTTCTGCGGGGTCACCTGCGGCTGGTTGATTTGCCCGCGGATGTACCTTGTTAGTCGTTGGATTGACTTCTCTAGTTTGAGATACAACTGCAATTATGCTTGCTGGCAGTTTTGAATTTGAGCGTTATACTAGTAGCAGTATTAAGATGGTTGCATAGGTGGATTCTTAGTACTAAGTATTCACACTTAGCCGTCTGCAATTTTGGTACGTAATCTAAGGCTGAAATATATACTCGTAACTACTAGTAAATACTACTACTACTACTACTACGAAAACACCTGCAATCATGATCTTCATGGAACAATACTTCACGATATAGTAAATGACCCAAAACTAAATAGCTTCATATTATAGTTCCATTCAAGTGGCATCGATTTTTATTTGTCTCTCCTCCCATCTTCTATTGCCTGAAGTTGTGTCGATACTAAAGCATGAGAGATACCTTTTGGCTCAATCGAGTATGAACCATGAACATATTCCGAGCAACCACTACAGTGAAAGCAAGACACTTACCAGTGAAGTATACACAGGAATTAGAGCTCACCAATGCAATACCAAGGCCTTCCTTAATAGATGTATCAATAAATCTTGCACTCCCTGAAAGACCCAAGATCCATGCCCTAAGCCTGAGCCCTCATTTACCGATTTGGGAGCTCGACAGCTTGGCATCTCCGATCGCCGACCGAAAGCTCCGTCGCGGCCTTTCTTGGATTTAGTCTTTACTTCTCCATCTTCAGCCAACCCCCTCGCCAGTCATCTTCGCGCGTTCTTTCTCCCTAATCGAATCTGTCCATGTGTCCCACCGAAAAACCCTCTGCATCAACTCTAATGACCTAACCCCTTTTTCCAAACATGGGCACCACCAAACCTCGCCCTTCCGGCAGGGCCTCCGTCGCCAAGGTCCAATCTCTCCCCGACAAGACATTCGTCATCGATAATGGCGCTTATACCCTGAAAGCCGGCTATGCGCCGGACTCTGCACCTCCAGACGACCAATCGAAAGCGCTTTCAGCTTGCTCCGAAATTCCCAATGCGATCGTCAAGACCCGTGGCAACAAGATCTACGTCGGCTCTCAGCTGAACACGCATGTGACGGACTGGAATGAGATGATGTTTCGTCGTCCTGTTGAGAAGGGCTACATTGTGAACTGGGAGGCCCAGAAGGAAATTTGGGAGCACTCGTTTTTCGATGAAAAAACCGTGCGCAGTAAGGATCTGCGGATTACGGATCCCGAGGACACGACGTTGTTGTTGACGGAGGCGCCGAATGCATTGCCGGCGCTGCAGAAGAATGCGGATGAGATTGTCATGGAGGAGTGGGGGTTTGGAGGGTATCTCAGATGCGTTGGTAAGGATGCTAGGTGGTCGTCAGCTGTTTGTTTGGAGAGGGTGATTGCTAATGAAGACGCGTATTGCATCTAGGGCCATCGATGAATGCTTGGAATGATGTCCAGTCGCTGTTTGGGGATCCTATTGTGCAGGAGGCAAACACGACGGTGTCTCCAAAGGAATGCTTATTGGTGGTTGACTCGGGTTACTCTCACACCACCGTGACACCAATCTACAAAGGACAGCCGCTTCAACGTGCCATTCGCAGACTCGACCTTGGTGGTAAGCATCTTACGAACTACCTGAAGGAGATGGTTTCAGTGCGGCAGTACAACATGGTGGACGAAACTTATATCATGAACGAGGTTAAGGAAGCCGTTTGCTTTGTTAGCAACAACTTCGTCGGCGACATGGAACAGACGTGGAAGGGCAACCGGAAACGCGGCCTGCCAGACGCCAGCGAGGGGGTGATGGTGGACTATGTCCTCCCTGACCCCAATGCAGGCAAGAAGGGCTTCATGCGACCGCATGATGCTCTCTTGAACGCCAAGAAGAGGAAAGGAGGCTTGTCGGGGGCCAGCGCGGAAGCACTATCGGAAGACGCTCTGGTCTTGGGCAACGAGCGCTTCGCTGTTCCGGAGATCTTGTTCACTCCCAGCGACATTGGCATGAAGCAGGCCGGCATTCCGGATATTATCATGCAAAGTCTTTCTGTCTTGCCTACCGGACTGCATCCCGCGTTTCTGGCCAACGTTTTGGTCGTCGGTGGCAATGCGCTGCTCCCAGGATTTGTGGACAGACTGTAAGTGTGGGATTCATATGTTTGGTGGATTGGCATCTTGTTGCTAACTGGGTGGCAGGGAGTCGGAATTGCGCCAACTGGCTTCCGCGGAATGCGCTGTCCGGGTGAAATGCCCGCAAGAGTAAGAGCTGCTGCCCTACTTACTGACTACCGTCTCTTCGAACCACGAGCTGATGATCGCAATTTTTCTGTACACAGTCCGATTCGCTCCGCCTGGTTGGGAGCGTCCCGATTTGCTACTAATAAAGACGAACTCCGGAAAGTCGCCGTCACCCGGCAAGAGTACCAAGAGCACGGCTCTTCTTGGGCAAGTCGGAAGTTTACTGGTGCTATATAAAGTTCAGCGGGCAATGGCTGTCTGTGGAGTTCAGGATTTTGCATTGATTGGAGTGTTACGGGGGGATTGATCAAAGTTGCTTGCTTTCCTGTTTGGCTTGATCCTGGGGGGATGCTGTTCGTTTTGTCTTCATACTTTTAGCGATTCTCTGTGATACCCTTGAAGATGTTGGCCCATCCCAAGCCAGTGGAATTCATAGAACAATGTCATTATGTCATTTTCCATCGGGGATGGGCGATGATGTTTATCATTGCTCGGGGACTGATGAGAGGTAGAAGCAAGCGCTAGTAGTAGTTTTCATGCACTGCTCGACCACGCAAGAGTCCAATCCATGAACCGACGACCAGCCTTCGGACTGCTGTTGGGCAGTGGCTTGTTTAGCTTAGTGACGATCGGAAGGAGGGTGAGTGAGCGAGCGAGTGAATGCTTGTGAGTCATGGAGGGGATTGGGGAAATAGAGAGTTTGTTGTTGCGGTGAGGCTGGGATGGGCTTTGCTTTGCTACCTGATCTTCTTTCCTGCTCGCCCCGCAGTCGAACACGTCGACAACCTCAACCGACGGTCAACCGCATGGTCGCGCTCCATGCGCCAGTTTACTTACTTTTTCTCGTCTCTCCCGAATCCCGGTCGCCAATAGTCCTCATCTATCCCTTCCGTACTCTCGCGGTTGGTTGGCGAAACTAGCATGGACCAGGTGGTGCCCCGCCCTTCAAGGTCACCCTACAGCTGCACACGGGCGAATGATGTCAAAGCCTCGAGCAGGAAGCGTTGTCTGAGAGCTATCTCTAGCAAATAATGGGCGGTGGACATGTGGCATTCGACTGCCTTACCCATGGCATGGTCGCTTAGTTGTCGCGCGATATACCCACCCTCCTCTTGTCTGGCTCTCTTGCCATCCCGGATGATATGCCGAGCAGTCCAACAAAACAACCCGAAGATGTCTATAAAGACCCTGGCAGCTCTCGCGCCGGCTGCCGGCGATTTTATGCTAGTTATTATCTCCTACGAAACTCAATTTACATCCTACATACTTCACAACTACAACTCCATTCAAAGACCCTTGCCATCATCCTAAGTATTATGTTACTACTGTCTACTGCTCGTTGCTCGTGCCCTACTCTCTAAAGTCGAAACCAGCGATTATGGATTCCAGCGTCCCGGAATTGCACCCAGCAATCATCCAGTCCGATCTGCTCCTCCCCATCACCGACCCCGTCCCCAAGTGTACGGCCCTCAACGCCTCTATCTCGTAGGTCAGCCAGAAGCAGTTCCAGTCGCAGAAAGAGAACCCATGCCGGAAATCAAGATGACCGCATTTAACGTCAAAGATCTGGCCGCGCGCGCTGTCCAGCGCATCGCGGAACACCGCCAGAAGGCTGAGGCCCGTGGCAGCACTTTCAGCACGGAGCCATTGCCAATGGATCGTGTCTCAAGTGTGGACGCCAATTCAATGAGGACCATGTCACATAGCGAAGACGAACACCGCCACAAGTCGAAGATGAGTCGGCTCGTGCAGAAGGTTCGAGGGCGGTTCTCAAAGCGTCTTGCAAAGAGGGAGGTAATCGACGAGTAAGAATCCCGTCTAGATACACACCCAAGCCTTCTTCTGGGTAATGGCGCTAACTCACTCTATAGACCCTGCGCATGCTGCTTGGATATCATGCCTGCCGAATGCCTGATCAGCATGCCCTGCCAGCACAAATACTGCAGCAGATGCTTGAAGAAGTTGGTGTTCACAGTTATGCCGGAGGAAGGACTGTTCCCACCCAGATGCTGCAAGCAGAAGATTCCGACAGAGGTCATCCTCCCTGTGCTAACACCGAAGGAGAGGACGGTCTATTTTGCCAAGGTGCAGGAGTATGCGACCCCAGCCAGAGAACGCTGGTACTGTCCTGCGCCGACGTGCGGCCGGTTCATTCCACCGAAGCATCTGAACAGCAAGCTCTCGTCCCAAAGCTGCCCATACTGCAGCACGACATTTTGCTCTGGCTGCAGATGCCCGGGGTATAATAATAGTACCTCGACTGGGAAGAAAGATCCAGGATTCATGGCCGTCTTCGAAGATCCGCGACTTGGTAAAGCACAGAGGGGTCTCAAATGTGGCTCTTTGGTGGACCTCTTGTTCAATTGTGATCATGTTACGTGTCGGTGCAAGGCACAAGTCTGGTAAGGCCCCCCTTCAGCTGCCCACACATAGTGTATCTAGACATCCTAACCAAGAAGTAGTAACCTCTGTCGCAATCCATGGCTGTCATGTACCTGCGCCAAGCCAGGCCAACGCCCCATCGACTTCCTCACCTTCATCATCGGCCACAGCGGCGTAAGCAAAGACCAGGAGGCCGAACTCGCCGCAGTGGTGGCTGCCATCCTATGCAACGAAAGGCTGCGGGATGAAGAATTGGCAAAGACCCAAGGCATGAAGGAGAAAGGGGGAAGCGCTAACAGAAGTCGGGCGAGTCTGCTGATACCACAGCAGGCGACTCGGGCTAGGAGGGTTTCCTAGGCT